AGGGGCATAAAATGATTTGTACATTTGGTGCGTTGACTAAATTAAAAAAGTTGTACATTTTCAAACTGAACTATTTTTGTGGGACGGAGGGAATAGCAAAATATTGCAGTGAGGTCCAACCCATTAACATACATGATTTTCTTAAGGAAAAAAATTTATGTTATTGTAACATGATCTCCTCCCAAAGTTTTCCCCTTATGTTTGCAAAAATGTCAAGTTCCACTTAATATCTATAGTACTTAATTAAAACAGCAAACAAGAAAGACAGGTGTCAGCTCCACAGTAAAAATTTTCCCGCCAAAAGTCATTTTCAGTACAAAATCATTTTTGACACGTGGCACTCTAACTATTCAGAAAAAAATGATGAAATTATAGAAAAAGTCAAATACTAATCTCCAGCAAAATCCCAAAATAAAATCACAAATTACTCTTAAAATCTCGGGGTGATTTTAGGATCACAAGTTACTCCTAAAATCTCGGATTTGCGTCTTCCACGGCACAAAATTTTCACGTTCATAATCTCCTCCGTAAAATCAAATTTCAAAAAGATTTATTTCATAATCTTTCTACTCTCTCAAAAATCTTCAACTGAAATCTCCCTATTTTAAAAAAATTCAATCTCAAACATCAAAAGTTCCAAGTTTTGCTCTGGTCAAATTCACGCACAACCACTGGCAAGTTAATCTCTCCATTCCCTTTAATACATTTAAACCAGTTTCACTGCCCACTTAGTTTCTCTTTCAATTTGAATCAATCGGTGAGACGTCTCAAAAAAATATACTATGGCTGCGGCGGGTGAAGATCGATGGTGGTGTACTATAAGGGAAAAACAGATTATTCTCTTCTTCATCCTCTTCTTCTTTCTCGGTCACACCGTCACTATCATCATCATCGATAATAAAAATAGATGATTCTCCGACTGTTGCTCTCTATATGGAAAGGGCAGCGGTGGTGGCGATGACGACAAATTTGATTTTGAGGTTTGATTTTTTATTATTGATAAAGCTTGGATTTGTACGGTGCTTAGGATTGGCGGCGATGATGACCAAGGCGGCGGCGAACGGCCTAAAACCTGTAAGACAGAGCCTCGGGTGTCTCTCGAGAGTAGACTCTCCGATACTTAAGTTAATAAAGGAGTAGAGATAATAGAGAGAGAGGGATGTGTATCGTGTGTAGAAGATAGGTAGAAGATATGAATTACGGGAGAGGCACCACCTCTTTATATAGAGGTGGTGTTACCTGTTTCCTGAAACCCTAGCGGAATAGGTTTAGGCGGTGGCTTAATCTCCAAGTAACCTAATCCTAGGCCCAATCCTAGGCCTAGGGTTTATTTCAGACTCGTCAAGTGCCCCTAGCAAGCCATATTCTCGAGACTTGATGAGAAGGATATGGGTTGTTACAAGTGTTGATGTCTTCTCGTGGTGTTGCCCCAGTTCTTGAACTCTTTCGTTCTCGGGTGTCACCTATATAAGATAAAGAGAATAAAGTGCCTCGAGGAGGTCTTTGTATTAGTGAGTTCCTGATTAGAAGGGAGAAGCCTGTGTATGCCGAATTAGGAGGATGACACCTAGATTCTCTTATTTGAAGGTGAGAAGCCTATAGTTGCCTGTCGTGCAGGTCTTGTGGCTGTGCCCGACTAGCAGGTCTTATTTGGCTGTTGCCCGACTAGCAGGTCTTTGTGGGTCGTGCCTGACTAGCAGGTCTTATTTAAACCCGGTGCCCGACTAGCAGGTCTTTTGTTAATATGCAATTTTGCTCGAAAGAGGTAATATAATAATATGTTTAGTGAAGATAAGTCAAAGCTTAACAGTGGCAATATTCTAAATCAAAACATCGATGTGCTAAATTATTTAAACAGAATATAAAAGCAAGATGCATACTTGTTAGAGAGAACCTCGAGGAGTCTTTATGGTATCCTGAATGAAACGTGACGCTCACCTGGAATTTCCCCTGAGGGGTTGTCTTGATTAGCCACATACTCTCGGAATTTTCCCTTCTTAAGCCCTTCCTCGATTTGTTCATTTAGTGCATGGCAATTCTCGATGTCATGCCCATGATCTTTATGGAAAAAACAGCATAAGTGTCTTGGGTGCTTACTTGGATCTGTTGACATGGGACATGGTACTTTCAACTCATGCTTTTTTCTTTGTTCAACTTTTACTACCTGGAACTATAGAAGAGCAAGAGATGATTGTTGGGGCCTTGAGGAAGTTGATTTGAAGCAAAAAATTGCCAATATTTCTAAATTGTTTTGGTTTTTTAGTTGGTGCTTAAATATTTTACTAATGTTGATTAAGTAGTTTTGAAAAGGTTGCAAAAATTTATTCCGGGAAAAAGCCCAACTATTGAGAAAGTGATTAATGTTCTGAAGCTTGAAATTAAATGGAAGTTGTTGCTGCATGGCGGAAGAGCTACGAGGCAAGTGAAAGAGATTTTTGGGATTTACTGGTTTACGGGAGTATAAATGTCTTTTATTGTAATGTGAATAGTGTAAGTTTAATTTATTGCTGCACTTTTTCAATCACATGTACAGTTATGGACTTGGATATTTTAACTGGTAGGAATTGATGTAATCAATTTTTTATTAGAAATTAGAGTATGTTTGGAACATATATGTACAATTTATCCAAAAGAAAAAAAAATCCTGGAATAAGAAGTGTACTTCATCGCAAGTTATGTTTTTAATTTAATTTTGGAATTTTTATTTCAAGTCTTTGATTTGTTGCTATCTTGGATATGCCATCTTTTCTCACTTTGATTCATATGTGATTAGTTTCTCATAATACACTATATTTTTTTTTTAAATTTAATCACATTCAATTAGATGACCTTGGAAGGGCCCTATTGTTTGGTGGGACAACATTTTTCATAGTTTTTTCTCCAGTTCGGCCGAACTAGTACAAAAAGAGTGAGAAAGAGTGAAAGGATGTCACGCAGCTAAAGTACATTACCCAGGGTGATGATTATGCTTTGTTTTTTTTTAATGTACTAACAAATTTAATGCACCTACGGCCTCCAGGCATTCGTTCAGAGTAAACATCTAGTAACAATTATTAGATTCTATTATTCATATTAAGAATAAATATTAGCCCGTTAATTATCATTCGAATTACTTGTTCTTTTTTCTCACGAAAAAACTTCAACAGTGTCAATACAACACAAAGAATCATTCATCTAAAATCATTTGGTAGCAAGTATATATGATGGATTGTAGATATAATATGCAGCTTCCAAATCTTTTTTTTTAAAAAAAAAATCGAAAATAAGTTAGGGGCCCTTTTTCGCATTTCGTCCTTGGGCCATTTGAATGTTAGGATGGGTCCTGCATATCTAACTATGTAAAGATGTTTGTTCCCGGTGAATTCATAACTTTTGAGTTGTTTCTGCTTCATTGCTTGACTGTTTAAAATTTTCATTTCACCATGTTTCACATGAACCAATAAAAAGGTTCAACCTCATGAAAAAATAAGGAAAGACATTTAGTGACATTATGCTGAGGCGTTTGAAGAAACTTTTGCATTTTGCAACTTCCAAGATGAGTGAGAGGAGCTCACTCCAGGGAAATTTAAGAAAGTTTGCACTAAATGCGCTCTTTGGCGGAGTTTATAAATTAAAAATGAGGTGAATTTTGATTTTAATTGAGTGATCTGATATGATTGGTCAAATAAATTGCGTTTTAATCGAAATTTTCATAAATCAATCCAAGGAAGCATAGGATACAAATAAATCAAAGAAGATAAGATTATTTTAACATCCTTCTCATTATGCGAAGAAAAGAAATCTACATTATATAAAGTGCGGAAACACTTTATGTGTACGGTTAACGCCCAGTTCCAAGTTATTTGTGTTGATGTGGCAACTGCTAATTCGCCCTGGTGTTTTTTTGTCGTGTTTCAAATATTTGCGTCATCAATTCTTCCCTTCCACCATGATTAAGGGAATCAAAATCCTTTTAAGGTGTGTTCGGCTATTTGTTTTTGGAATTCAATTGGCATTAGAATATTTTGGGATTCAATTGACATTCAAGATATTCTAATTCAATGCCAATCATTTGTTCGGCAAAATTATGGAATTAGCCACAAATTCAATTAGGATTCCAAATTCTCTGTTCGGATAGTCAAGTAATTGGGTTGATTTTGGATTTTGCTTATTTTTTACAAAAATAAAGAAAAAAGAAAAATTGATTTGTTATGAAATTATTTCAACTCTTAATTTTTGTTATGTTAAATGGTGTCATTTCTAAAATAATATATGAATATGTAAAACGAATAATATTAAGACAAATAATGTGAGAATATTATGTTAGATAATTTACTTTATTTAATTAAAATACACTTTATAAATCGAGTATGATATGCACTTGACTATGACTTTAGTCCACAAAACTGGAGGAAGATTAACATAAAGAAATGACTCACAAAAGGAGGGTTTGACTGATCTGCACAAAACCTGGTTAACCTGGTAATGCAGGCACTTCAAAACTAAAGTACACTTGTAAAAGCAAAATAGGGAATTTCTCATTCAATAGTAATTGAAACAACTCTACTCAATTTTCACGACGTAAATCTATGTTGGTTTAAGGTACAATAAGAAATCAAAATCTCAAACGATATATGTTCTTATTACACATTTGTGGAATTGATTGCTATATATATCCACAAATGTGTAATAAGCAATTTCCGGGTAATTTCAACTTAATCTATATCCACAAATGTTAATAAGGAATATATATATAGCAGATGATATATGTTCTCAAACGAATGGGTGAGAATTGATTGCCAAATTAAAACAGAAGACAAGATCTACTGGAAAAGCTAACTTAAACAAACTTGGATTAATTACTATAACCACGAGGAATACGGTACAACATTAACTTAATTGAAAGCTTAAGATAAATCATTCACTAACCCCAATGCCTTTGTACAAGAAGTGAGAAAAAGAGGGGACTAATTAGCGAGTCCAGGTGCTCTTAGCCTACATTTATGGTAACAGCCTACAAGTTAGCTAGTAGTCAAATTCGCGTCAGTCTCCGAATCTAGTTGTTGCTTGGGGACTGCGGCTGGAATGGTGACACCACCATTTATTCTAGCACGAGCCTCTGCAAACATCCTTTGCTGCTCGGCTAATGCCTCTTCTTCAGTCATTTCAGCAGCATTGCTCCACTTCCCGCTTCTTACTGTATCCTGTTAAAAGCAATTTCGTTTAGTTCTATGTTTGGGACGAGAGGAGTAAAGAACATATATCAAAATTAGGCCCAAAAGTACTCTCAGGACACTATTACTATCAGAATTCTCACAAGTTAATTATGTTCTTGTCCACAGTACAACAGCTCAGGACACTATTACAACATAGAAAAGTTCAACACGAAAAGTACTCTCTCTGCATCGTTAATAAACTAGCTAAACCAAAATCAGGCCCTGGAAGTTGTCAAATAGTAGTAACTGGAGCTCAAATTCTGGGGAAGAAAAAAATCAACAGTATTAACTAGAGCTCAAATTTTGGGAAAGAAAAAAATCAGTAGTGTGATTCTGTTGACAGTAAAAAGAAGAGAAAACTTGAAACAGATGCTAAATAAAGGGCCATGTAGTTAATCGGTATTATATTAGTAGTATATTATAAAGGATCAAACCTCATAAACACACTCAAAGGGCACCATGCAGCACAAAATCTCCTGCAAATCAGAAACAGTCTCAGCCTTAAGAACAACAGAGATCCTGGAGCTGTTTCTTTCACTTGAAAGAAAGATAAGGTGGAATGAATTGAAATAATGCTGTAAAATGCAGTAACTCAGATTGGATCAACTAGAAAAGGTGAAAGAATATTACCTGAACAATCAGTTTTCTTTGTCAAATTTGGCCATAAGGTATTTGTATTTCAACTCAACTGGCAATCCCACAAATGTATCAAACATTACTTGATTGAGCATCATCATATCCACAACCTTGATTTTCTGCATGTCATCCAAATCAATTTCCTTCAATTCTGACAAAATTTGTTGAGGGGTGATCTTTGTTTTTTGTGCTATCACAAGTTCAGTCTTTTTTCTTTCCCCCAACATGTAGTCACCAAACTCAGCAGCCATTTGCGTCATATAATCAGGAGCTTGCGTTGATGTTGGTTTTTTTCTCAAGCCTTGAGAACAAGTAGAAGATGTGCCTTCCTTTCGCTTTTGCCGGGCCAACAAAAGTCTCATAGCTTCGGATTGAGCATGAATCTCATCAGATGGATCTCCTATGTTGAAAGAGTTGACCTCATTCTCAGCATTATTCTCCTCAAAAGTTGCTGCCCCTTGGCCATCGGCACGGTCTTACGAGAAAATTGCACAAATATCATCCCAATTTTCAATCACAATTTTGCTCCTATAAGGAGCAAGTTGAGGGTTGGCCTAGATAACAAAAATTATACATCAATACAGAGAAGAAAATACATTTCAAACCCTCTAATGCAAAAGAAGCTTAATGATGTATTACCATAAGAGTGATGAAAATAAAACACAACAAAGAATACAATGATTTGCTCAAAGACAAGAATTTAGTATATAACTTAGGAATATGATGTAGGATGTATCATTAATCATTTCATGTTACTTAGGTAATTCTCCAAAATGCCTATATAAACAGAACAAAACCCTATTAGTTTATCACCATCAGAATTCACACAAACTTAAGTTTGATAATAATCTCCGAAAAAAAAAGAAACTGATTAGTTTGTCTCGCAATGATTTGCTAAGAATACAATGATTATTAGCAAATAAAAAAGAAACTTGATAAAATCAAACTTAAGCTTTATTATTTCCTAAGAAAATAGTGATTTGCTCAAGTACCTGCAGTCGCTCATTCCAAACATTTTCATCGTGGATTGCAATTCTGCCCTGCACGTAGTCCCATATGATTGGAGAGCCGGAATTTCTAGAGACCAATAAAGGATACAAGATCTCATGGTGCTTTGCCCATGTCTTCAAACGAGATTGGACTTTGCTCTTGTCTACATTAACTTTTAGATGAACATAAAGTGCATTTATAGCTGTTGTCCATGAGGAGGACTTCCAAGCCAATTTCCCGTCACATTTGTTTCCTTGAGCCATTTGATCTATAAAGCATGTCCCAAGAATCTTATCCATCTCGGGAGTCCAAGTGAAATAGTTTCCTTTTCCTTTTTCTTTCACTTGAAAGCTTGCTTGTGAATTAGAAGCCATCTATAAAGTCCTCCTAAACCTAAAAAAAATAAGAACAATGAACAAGTACACTAAAAAACTGAATTTGCTGAACTAAATTTGTAACATAATCAGAACAACTACGGAGTTTCTGGGCATGTGTTACATATACATCCTGAAAGACCAAAACATGGTTAATTTAAGCATTTTCTGGGCATAATGTAGTCTGCATTCACATTGCAGATCATAGTTTTACAGAGTGAAAAAAATGAAGTGGCTACAGCAACTTAAATAAAAGTCTGACTGTTAAATACCAAAGTATTAGTGTCTTTTGAGCTCTAAAAGCTCCCCAGCCAGAAAAACAATGAATTATTAAATGGAAACACATATAATAATGAAGTGATACCAAGATCTTATGGCCCTCATGTTGCACAGAAAAGAAGATGCAGATTTAAGTAGATGTGCAAGTAATAAAAAGATAATATCCAAATGAAAACACACAATATTAACAAACCATACATACACAATGAAACCCACAAACCACCCCCCACGAAGACAAAAGAAAGACAGTACGCTTTCGTCACCTAAATTATTTAATAGAGTAAACAACTAGTACCAGATTAAGAAGTGGGCTTCCCTTAAAAGGAAAGTAAACACATACATAAATGGGTTTGATTGTCATTGTTATTTAAGCACAAACCACAATCCAACACAAATGGAAAGTTTCCTTTATTCTAATTTAAACTATTCAAACTCCCACCAACATTCTGCTCACAAAAACCCAAAACACACGTCATGTTTAAGGTTACCTTTAAGCAACCCATCTATTAAATCACTTGCTAATAAGAAAATCTAACCATTCATTTTTTCATTACTTACTTGAGCTGCTTTGGCTGGAACAATGCGCCACTGGATGAAACCACAGAACAACAATTGACAATTAGCCTCTCTGATCTGCTTCCCAAAGCCGAGCCAACAAGTCCATATAGTAACAATTGCAAACACACGCACACAAAATAAATAAGCAAAAACAAACTTAGGGAATAATTTGCACATAAAACTGCAACCTTGAAACCATACTAGAAATCTCAGAGGACAAAAAGAATGAACCTCAACATACAGTAGTAGTACCAAGATACACAAACAATCAAAATCTAAAAATCCCATTTACAGCTGCAACTAACACAAAAATAGGAGGGAGAACTCCTACAATAAATCCCAACCTTTATCCTAAAGCATAAAAGCCCAGAAGTTAAAAATTATGCTAAAAGTCATATAGGTACTGATATATGAAAGAGACTTGTCATTATGCTAAAAGTCAGAAGGAATAACGTTCTGAACAAAGGAGACAAAGGAAAGGACACATGAACTCCTGAACAGAAAACAATAATTCGGGCAGCTGTCCTAGATACTAAACAGTAGTAGTTCTCAAGTCTTTACACTTCTTCTGAGTTTTCTTTTACTATCTTAGAAAAAAATCTCGTAGCCCTGAAGAAAATCATAATTTTGCAAACATTTACTAGCTTGACGAAATACACTGGCTTCAACTTCTAATCAACTTTTTCAACAAGCAGAATAATTCCAGGATCGAAGCTAGGAAACATTTTAAATCCAAAGAAAACATATACAAAGTTCGTGTTAAAATGTAACATCAGACATGAATTTGAACTTGTCCAGTTGAAAGAGCTACGATCGGATATTATAGCAGAATACTGTAAACCATCCTACCTTGTTTGCTGGATAAACTTTATCCTTGTACCATGTTGGCCTATTTTTCAGGTCAATAGGAATCAGCTTTATCTTATCTTGCAATCCCTGCTCCAGAAAAGAAAATATAAGCACAAAAGCTAAACAATCCTAGCACATCAATTCAAGAAAAAAAACAGATTGGAGGGCCAAGAATTCCACCTTACAGTTCCTTGTAATCCACACGTGTTGTGCATATGGACAGGTGTAAGACATGTACAACCTGAAATCAAGACATCCTGAAATCAAGACATGGAATGATTACAACTTACAAGTCCCATTTCATAGCAAAATAAGACAAAACCCACAATGCGTACTGTCGGGATTTGGAGAGGAGTACTGTGGGGAGTTCGAATTTGACTCCAATAAACAAAACTCACAAAAATTCAAACAGATTCCTGCTGAAATAAGACCGATTTGATTGAAAATCTAAGCATCAAAAAGTATGGGAAGTTAACCCTAATCTATACGAAAGGAAGAAAGAGGGGAAATAAGAAAGAGTAAAGTCGCCGGCTCCTTCGCCTTCGCGTTCGCCGTCGTCCATTGGTGGGAGATGTACAGAATCGGAGATGAAGGGTGGTGTCGCGGCGGAGTAAGGAGGAACCGAGGTGATGAGGGAGAGAGAAAGCAAGGAAATAAAATAAAGCTGTGAAAACTTAAAAAAGGGTAGGATCCGGATAGCTTATAACCCGAGATTTTCTTAATTTAACCCGCAAAAGACCCGCGAATTATTTAACTCCATAAGAGTTTGAAATTCCAAATAATAGTTTTAAGCCCGAAATTAAAATGTGATATTGGAAACCTTTTGGCATTGGGTCAATTCCAATACCATCTTATTTTTTGATAGTTGAACACCGAATTTGGCATTGGAAGCTCAAATTCCAAATCTAAGCCCCTAATGCCATGCATACGAAAATACGAAAAGAGTCTTAAGGGAAATACACAAAAAAAATTCGGATGTGCTGACATGGCTAATCATCCAGCAAGGAACCGACGTGCTCAATTAGATGACAAGGCAATATGATGATGTGGCAACTTACTCCAAACTCCTCCCCTGGTAAGAAAAAAAAAGAAAGTGGGTTCACCCTCCAAACACCCGAACCACGCATTTGACCTGCCGCGCCACCGCTTTCCGGCCGGCCGCGGAGAATGAACAACCGCAAGAAGAACAACGGCAGCTCCGGCCAGCAAATCAACACCGCCGAAACCCATATCCCGCCCAAAGAAACCCTCAATCGATACACAATCAGCCCGGCCAACCACCACCTTTACCATTTCATCTGGCTGTCGCTCGTCCTTACCAGTGTCAAGCTCCTCTTGATCCCAGCTTACCACAGCACTGATTTCGAGGTCCACCGTAATTGGCTTGCTGTAACCCATTCTCTTCCTCTATCTCAATGGTACTCCGACGAGACCAGCCCATGGACCCTTGACTATCCTCCGTTCTTCGCTTACTTCGAGCGCTTCCTCTCCTTCTTCGGTTCAATTGTTGATCCAACCATGGTTCACCTGACAAATGGCATTGATTACAAGTCCAACCTAACCATCATCTTCCAGAGATTATCCGTCATAGTAGCCGACGTTGTTTTGCTCTACGGAGTTTATAGAATTACTCGGAAACTAGTTCCGAAAGAGCGGCATTTGATCTGGATTTTGGTTATTGGGGCCCCGGGATTGATAATTGTGGACCATTTACATTTTCAGTATAATGGTTTTTTGCTGGGGATTCTGTTATTGTCACTCGCGGCCTTGGAAGAAGGGAATGATTTAATGGGAGGGTTTCTTTTTGCAGTGTTGTTGTGTTTTAAGCACCTGTTTGCGGTGGCTGCGCCTGTGTACTTTGTGTATTTATTGAGGCATTATTGTAAGGGTGGATTGATCAAGGGATTCGGAAGGTTGGTGATGATGGGCAGTGTGGTTGTGGTGGTTTTTGCTGCTGCTTATGGCCCTTTTCTTTATTACGGACAGGTAAACTTTTGCTTCTCTAAAGGAGCTTTGGATGGAGTACGCATTCTTGCTGTTTCTGCATATTGTTGCATCAAATCCTAGCTTAATTTTCTTGATATTGAAGAAACGTGATGTTGTAGAAAGTAAACTAGTACAAGCTACAAAGTAGTTAGAATGATGCACAATGTTGTTAGGTCTGGCCAGTCTAGATTTTAAGCTTGCATCTGCTATTACACATGTAAATTTCGATCGTTTGGACTAACTAGCATGTTGAGTGTCAAATAAATACTGGAACTGCTTCAGCTCATGCTGGAACTGTTACTTGTTTCCCATTAATTGTCTGTCACTAAGCGAGGTAGTTTTGATGAGTGCAGTAAGGTAAAGGGACGAATCTTTCATGTTTAAAAAGCTATTCAGTTTAATTTCCGCAGTTTTGATGTCAAGTTGTATGTCAGTGCTAATGCTACTTTGTTGATATGGCATGGATTTTCAAGTAAGTGCTTGTGTAATGGCAGCATTCTGCTGATATATATTCACAACATTGGCCCAAAATCACTTGCAGATCCAACAAGTTTTCCATCGCATGTTCCCTTTTGGCAGGGGGCTCTGTCATGCTTACTGGGCACCAAATTTCTGGGTGTTCTACATCATATTGGATAAAGTGCTAACGTTCCTGCTTTTGAGACTGGGGTTCAACATCCAAGTGCCAACAGCATCATTTACTGGTGGGCTTGTTGGGGATTCGTCGCCTTTTGCTGTTTTACCTAGGGTAAGTCTTCTTAATCATAGGATCCGAAGATGTTGGCCAACTTTAGGTATCTTGGATATTATTGTGGAGCATTTGTATTTGTTGTGATGAATTTTGCTCAATTTAGCAGTTTTCAATGTTTACCGGTGTAGTTTGTTGATGAATGCTGTGTGGTTAAAACATGCTGAACGGCTGACATGCAGATCACTCCATTGATTAGCCTGGCCATGGTCCTGCTCTCTATATTCCCTTGTCTTATAAAGGCTTGGAAGGATCCCAAGCCAAGGATGATCACTAGATGGGTCGCTTATGCTTACTCGTGTGGCTTTATGTTTGGCTGGCATGTTCATGAAAAGGCATCGCTACACTTTGTTATCCCTCTTGCAATTACTGCATTGAACAGCGCTGAAGATGCTAGACATTACTTCTTTTTGTCTATAGGTATGGTAAATTTCCTTGTGATTATGTTTGGTTCCTCTTGTTGCTGATAAAAAAGTCTGGTACTGCTCCTCTTGTGACCCAAACTTTATTGCCTTTAGTTTCATTGCAATTCTGGTTGCAACAATAGGATAGTAATTATCGTGACTGTGTTGATGACAATGATCAATATCACGGAAAGGATTGTATTACTTGAATCTCACCATGGTTTGGTGGATAAGGCGAATCTCAGAGCAGTTTGATCTGTCCTAACTTTAGCTTCTAATGATATACAAGAAAATGTTTACTTCTTGTTTTGCTTCTTATATCTCATGGCTGAGAGACCAATCCATTCCCTTGTTTGCTTTGCAGTATCCTCCTATTCACTGTTCCCTCTTCTTTATCAAGCACAAGAGTATCCAATCAAAGTTGTATTACTGATAGTACATGCTATGCTTATGTGGTACGGATTTTCCTCAAATTTCAAGGCTACAAGTAACTCCAGACCTGGAGAGCTTGCCAAATCAGGAGGTGATACTGTCACAAAGAATGGAGATTTTGTCATAGGATGGTTCGGAAAGTCTTATCTTCTGGGGCTTTTCGTTGTTGAGATATGGGGACAGTTTTTGCATCCTTTATTTCTTGGGAATAAACTTCCCTTCTTACCTCTAATGCTGATATCTACATACTGTGCATTTGGTATGATCTACTCTTGGATTTGGCAACTAAGACAGATTGTTAGGTCTCTTTGATCTGGATAAACATGTAACATTAACTGCAGATAGGTGGTTTTTTTAACCCGGAAATCTAATTTATATCTTAACCAGGCATGTCGACTTCTTTATTTGCTTTTTGACTTTGCTAAAGTTCCTTCAAAAGGGCAGTCAGTGCTTTTAAAAGTGAAGGAGAAAGTTCACTTCTCAAGTAAAGAAAAGGTTTTCCAGAATTTCATGCCTTTGATTCTGCAATCTATTGGTTTTAGTGAACACTCAAAGATAAGATTTACCTTTTTTCCCTTTTGTTTATTGGCTGGATATATAATCCAATAATCCATCACAGAAGCAGGTCTTTATTTTCTTCTAAAAACCGATCTTTAGAAGAGCTAATAATATAATCCTTAACATCATAATTTGCTGCTGTAAAATCGTTGGAAGTTGGAGGTCCAAACTAGCTCGTCAAATCAGGCTGTCATAGAACAACAAATAAGATTTTGTTTGGGACGAAATGACCCAAAAAACATAATTAAAATTTGATTTGAATATGCAGTTTTTTTTTTTTCTTTGAACTCAAAAAAACAAACAAATTATCAATAAAATAAATTCTCATCCCACATGATAAAGGAACATTCAGAACCTTAATTAGAGGTCACAAACTCAAATTTCGCCAATTAAAAATGTGTTTGATACAACATGGATACATTTGTGTATGATTAGTTCAGGCATTTTCACTAACATGAGTCCATCACCTACTGACTGTATAATTAGTCATTACAAAGACAAGCATATTCATTAGTCATTACACTGTATAATTAAACCTAATTATGTGCACCATTCTAATAATCATCAAATCATCATCACCATTAAGAAACCAGTCACTCTAATGGGTAGAAAATTGATGATGAAGATATATAACATAGAATATTTAAAGGTAAGTTTAAGGAAACATCCAAAAAGTAGAATATAATTAACAGAGGGGACCAAAAGACGGATGACTTTGTCAACTTATGCTGTCATTTTGCGTTTCTCCCCTTTGTCTTCTTCTTCTTTCCCAATAGACTCCTTCTTTCTGCTCGAGTCAGTTTTCTTTCTTTCCCCCAAATAATCACCTGCTACATATTTTCATTTTTTGACCTTCTGATACTCAGAAAAGGGTTGATTCCAGATGGGTTCAAGCGTCAGTCGCGGTGTATCTTCTTCTTCATCATCACCACCATCATCATCATCAAGAAGAAGACCATCTGGGCAGCAAAGCACAAGAAACAAGCTGTCATCTTTCTTCCTCTGTGGTTCTTCCACTTCTTGGCAACCCCTTGAGGTATATATGAATTATATCAACTGTAACAAAACAAAGATAACCCACCAATTAGTTTTTTTTTTTTTTTTTCATTCCGGCGTATTTGAAATCTCTGTAAGAGAGTTGACCTTGGTTACAGAAACAGTAGAATGACTAATGAGCGATGATTGTAACCTCAGCAGATTTAATTTTTCCTGTTAACGTTTGTTTTAGTAAATTAGGATGAGAGTATGGTTGTTTTTGCTGATGTTGTTTGGGACTTTTTTGATAGAGATGGAGAGAATCACTAAAATGATGATCTATGTCGATTAATCTTTTTATTCTTTTAATTTTCCCTTCCTGCACTTTGTATAACCAAGAGAAAGGAAGTAACTACTACAGTGATCCACTTCCCGGATAGTGTAAGCAGTAAGGATTTTGAAAATACAACTCGAGTAGCGGACGCAAAACTTTTCCATGTCAAGATATGCTTTGGTGAATATGTTCTCTTGTTTTGTGGGTGATAATTCAACCACGCTTTAACGCCAAAATCATGATGTTGCTGTTGTTGTAAACCAAAATCGTGAGGGATTAATGACTAATTGACTGTGGAGTATTAAACTGCCTTCATATCTTCCGTTCTGTTAGATTTGTTCCTTGTCATACTTTTAAGTTTCCGTTTGCAGAGTGAAGATAATCCCCAAGGTTCACCAATCAATTCTGTTGAAAATGTTGCTCCTGACAGCTCTTGCATTTCCATGGAGCAATCTTCCACCATATTTAGTTCAGAAGCTGATTGTACAAGTTCCAGCGTTGAGACTGTTGCCACGTCTAGTGCCTATAGCACTACTGAGTGTACCCCTTTTGAACTCGCCAGGACCAATAGAGAAGATAGCACCCGTGAAGAATGTTTGTCAAATGCGAGCAGCTCTAATGCTCAGAAGGAAGGTGCATCATTGATCTTTCCACAAAATGATTCTACAGAGGGTAATCTTGTTGAAAATCTTGAGATTACGGCTCATTCTGAGGTTTCTAGTTCTGGGAATCTTGCTATTGTCCCTGATCCATTAGGTAATCATGAGTTGTCTGCGAATCATAATTCTGGCACAGCAACAACTTCTGAAACAAGTTCTATATTTGGGAATGAGCTGGATCATGGAAGACTTGACGCCCTTCATGTTGCGATGGTGAGTATCCCTTCCAGCATCTTATCTAGTAGCATTGCTGAACTAAGTAGCAGTCAAGCAAGAAGTAATAGGAGGCTTTATTGGGAAGCATTGTCAAGACGCAGTTTCAGCCAGAGTAATGATTCCCCAACTGTAGTTTTCGCGACAGGTCCTGCTGATGATATCGGATCCAATGGGAGATGGCTTCTTAACCTGAGTGGAGATCTACACTATGACAGAGTATTTCGTGATCCTGGTTACCTTGGTTCTAGAAGCAGTCGCCGGAATGGGCGAAGATGGCTATTAAGATCTGAGGTGATTTTTCATCTTCTTTTCCATTTTTCCATACGAGAAGTTTAAGTATCCAAGAATAATATGCCTGATATTGTGTCTCAGAAGCTTTTATACCGATGAACTACATCTGACTTCCTCGGCAAAATTGTATTAATGTATCTAGTCACATTTTTATTTAATCTGGAGCAGTTAATATCTGAAACTTCATACTCTGACATAAGATGGCAATCCTTGGTTTGTAATCCAGTTTTCTCTGTACACATAGACTGTTGAGTTGTGTGGACCATATATCAAAATTTGTTATCATAAATGTTGTAGAGATGATGATGCTGAGTTTGCATCGTTCTTCTTTTCAAAATTTTGGGAGTGTGATCACTTTGAAAAGGAAATATCTTGCAAAACTTTCTCACTTCTATATTGAATAATGATTTGTTGACCTTTTACGTACGTCTTATGTGCTCTGCTTTTCACATTAACAGATCTCAGAAGGACTTGTTCACGGTCGGGGTGACGGAGAGCGACAAACCAATTTTTGTGCTTCTGGACTCCATCCTGTTGGTACTTGCTCATGCGAATCTTTCTTCTCATCAGAAGAGTCCAGTACTCTTGCAAGTATTTCACGAATTATCATGCTTGCAGAGGCTTTGTTTGAGGTATGCGGATAAGTTTTTTTAATGTCAGTGGTTTAAGTTTTAACCATAAAGACACGGCCAACTTTGAGAAGTCATAAACGATTGTGATTGTAATTACCCTTATTTCGGTGTCATATGTTTAATTTCAAGTGACTTTAAAGTTTATAAATGTATAATGGACAAGGACAGGGTGATTTGGAGTCACTTTATATCCCAACCTGCAAGAACTAATTGATTTCTGGGTATAAGTACTCTAGTTTTGTAGCTAATGGTAAATATTTGAAAGAGTTTGCTGATATCTTTGTTGAAATTAACGCTTATCCAAAAAGATTTATGAGCTCTGCATATTGATTGGCGACCTCCAGGTTTTGGATGAGATTCATCAGCAACCTTTGTCATTCTCCCTATCGATGCTTACCATGCCAGCACCGGAGGCAATTGTGGACTCATTTCCTCTCAAGAGTTTCAAGAAGTCAGATGCCAGTGAAAGCAGGCATTCTGATATACCACAGTAAGTCAAATAAAGTTTTTTCAGATTTGACTATCTGGAAATGTGCGATCAGTGTTCTTTAATTAAATTTCTTGTTGCTTTTGTATCCTCATCAACAATATGCATACACGCGAATGCATTTTTGAGGTTCATTATCATGTGGTTGATGTGACTTTCTTGTTGCTTTGCAATGGAATTGACTTGTTTAACTTTGGAATGTCGGTCTGCTATAAATTTCAACGGAGATAAAGCTGGCAAAACAGTAGGAAAAACTACTTTTGCTTCTGTAGCTGTTCCGATGTCTTTTGGTTGTATTGGAATGTCTGTCACCCTTCATTCTTAACCATGTTGATTGTGATGTTTAGGCTTTTATATTAGAAGGTTTCTATACAGTAGCAATATTTCAATATACTGCGTACAGATGATTTATCTTCACGCATATCAAGCATGCTGATATATGATTAGAATCACTATCATTGATAGTTATGCGTAATTTTAGCTCTTCATTCATTTTTGGCAGACTTCAATGTGATTGTGGTGAATTGTTTTGCATTTGCAATTACATGCCATTTGTGTCTTCCTAAAACAGCCAGTTGGGAGATATTTGAGGCTCTTGTGTTTGTTAAGTATAGGCACACAGGTTTTCTGTTAGCTTTCTCAAAATGAATGGCAAATATGATCTGCAGGTGCTACATTTGTTTATCCGAGTATGAGGAAGGGGAGAAATTAAGGGTTCTTCCTTGCCGGCACGAATACCATGTAGCTTGTATCGACAAATGGCTTAAAGAAATTAACAGGTACAAGCAACGCATTTCGCATTCTGGGTCTCATTATTCCACCTCTTTGTTGACCTCCTATTCCGTGGCTAATGTGCAATTGTAACTCATTTCTTTCTTTTTTTTTGTGCTTCATCAGGGTATGCCCAGTTTGTAGATGCAACATCTGTGAAGATGCTATGCCTGATTCTGTCCCAAATACTACCATGGTTTGATTTCCTATGAGGCATTGGTGGAGTCAAAATACCAACACCGGCTCATCATCCCTGGTAGATGTTGCTTATTGTTGGCATGTGAGACTAGGTGCTGCCCACAAATCTTGAATCACACTGCAGTGATGCAAACTGTAAATAAATAGATACTACTGTTTCGTGAACATAAATGTAAATATAAAGATTAGCTGATGAAACTAGCTAAAAAGTGAAGTGACCCACTGGGGCTGGAATATGCTCAGTAGAGCTTGCAATTTTTTCGCTTTTTATCTGGTGATTACTGCTGCAGTAACTGAAAAGCTAGTATACATCTATCTAAGGAGGTGCTTGGACTTAGTTAATGGAGTAAACATTAATTGGGTCCAGAAGCCCTGTGCTTATAGCCAACGGCTTATTGCACAATGATAGTGATGAAAGTTGAAGAATGTGGAGATACACTCACATTTAAGTTTGATCATCATCATTCTTCTAATTTTGTTTCCCTTCTTCATTTTGTTATTTATTTCACTCCCTCTATTCCAAAATACTTACCACATTTGTTGTACTAAAACTTAATTCTTCTAATTTTGTTTCCCTTCTTCTTGGGTTGGAAAGAGGATCATGTTGTTCACTTCATGTTGACATCTCTCCTCTTTGTTTTCATCAAATGTTTCTTTCTTTATTTATCGATTTTTGGGTGAAAATAACTATTATTATGAAACGGAGAGAGAGGAAGTAATATACACAATTTCTTGAGCAATGTGTGTGAGGATTAACGTTATCCTGGGTGTGGCCGGTGTATTCATCTGAAACTATCAAATTTAGTGAGTCTCTTTTAACAGAAAGTTGGGGCTTCTTTTATTAATCCTTTTCTATAATTTAATACGAGCAGGCATGCGAAGGTAGTTCCAGGTCTCTCTGCAAGAGTATCAGCAAAGCAATTATGATTACTATGATCATAAATCTGTGTGTGTGTGTGTGTTTTGCGCCTTTTGTCCGGGCCGCATGCGGTTTTTCTTGCCTCTTTCTTTTTTGTGTTTTGAGCCCCCCAAATCAATTAAACTATATTAATGACTAATCTAATGTACTCCTTCCGTCCGGGGAAATAAAAATCTATTTATTGTATTATTTTAGTTCAACAAAATATAATACGTATTATTTTTTAAGACCGAGTGTGAATAGCTATCACTCTCGAGTCTCCCCAACGTGACAAACGAGAAATTTCAAATTAATACATTTTGCAATATATGTAGCTCATGAATTCATGATGGATCCATGTCGTAATTGTATTAATGATGGCTTTATTATCTTATTACTCAAAAAGAAATGACAACTACTGAATGCATGCCCTGACACTAAATTAATTAGGGTCTCTAACTTGCTACTTGTATGAACTGTCTATTGGGATTGGGTTGAAAAACAAGTTTTTAACATGATGCATTATTACTGAAGCTTTAGTGGAAGCTCGTACTATCAGCGCCAAATCTTATTAGTTTATTTAATTGAACTAAAATATTATAATAGAATAGTAGTAGATAATTAATATGGTGATGTTATGGAGGAAATATCTTCTGTCAAAAGCTAAAATAATGGGAAAAAATTTTACACTCTAGGAGGGGGTTCTAGCTTGGCCGCAAATTCTGGATCAGCAGTACCAATTGAAGGGTTTTAATTAAACATGGCAATTTGTCAATCATAAAATGATACTCCCTCCATCCCATAATTATTGTCCAGTTTGGGTTTTCATTACTAGTTCAAATTATAGTAAAAGTGAAATCTCAAATTGGACGATAATTTTGGGGCAAAGAGAATATAAGATAACACCGTAATAAGTAACTTTATGATAAAACTCTGAACAAATGCTGAAGATACCATCCAGCCATTATTATTATGTAAACTACAAGTATTAAATGAGTGATTACGAAAATATGCTTTATCATTTTGTGAAATAGGAATAGATAGTTATCTTTTTGGGGTTAAGGTATAAAAATGCTAAAAAAACTCGAAGAAAAGAAAGAATGACTGAAACTTTAGGCAAAGCATCACGGCCGGGTTTTAATTCGATTCACGGTACTGTCGGCGGTGGCTGGTTGTTGCTGCTGCTGCTTTAGTATATTTCCCTTTGATCAACATCTTCTTTCGTCTACTTTTGAAAAGTAATCGCAAGTCAACAATCAATTATTACTTTAAAAATAGCAACAAAAAAAAAAATTTGCTGTTCTATAAATTATTTTTATTTTAGGGGTAATAATTCAATAATAATTGAATGGAATTCCACTCCAAAACATAAATAATAAAAGCAAGCAAAATTATAGAATTAAGATTACGTAAGAACAAACTAATTTCAAAAATAAAAATTAAAAATGGAGACCAAACTCTTAAACTGCTGGAGTCCAAACTCTAAAAGATCACCCAAATGCAGAAAAGGGAGAAACGCACAGACACTGATAAAAGGAAAAGTGATTGGAACTTGGAAGATGGAGAAATGTAGGATTAAGTAATTGAAAAATTATTGGGTACAGTTGTTGTATTATGGCTTTTAATGCATTAAGTACTAGTACTTTCCTATTTTGGTGATATAACTCTCGTAGAAATTATCTCTCTTCCCCCAAAATCCTACGTGATACAACAGACAATTTATCTAGGTAACCACCTTAAGCAATATCCTTTTCATTTTGGACACATTAGCTTTAGCTATTACAGCTGCCGAGATTAAAGATTTTGCTATATTTGTTTTTTTTTAAATAAATTTCTTCCTGTTATATTAGTTATGCTTTCTAAATCGACCGATTATTGAAAGACGGAGAAAGAAGTATTTCATAAATCAATTCTCAATTTTTTTTCAACTTGTAATAATATACACAACAAATACGAAGAATGCATATGATCCGATATCAAGTCATTTGTCAGTTATATATTACCACAAATATATCATTTCCACGATCAAATACATTTGTTTTCATTTGTGGTTAATGTGTTTGATTTGGAAGTTGGATCGCGTCCTGCATTAGGTAAATAATAATAATTGATTGAGACATTGACACTCAACTTCTTGTTTTAATCCACTATCATATAAGTTACCAAGTTAGAAATTAAATTAAAAAAAAGTTTCATATATGAATTTGTACAATCAAATAAATTTGATTTCATCTTAATTAGATGCATTGTGAAATAAGCATATTTACAGTTGTCTTCTGCGTAGTTAAAAATAAAACACTTATTTTGGAACGTAATTTATCCTTTTTTTTTTTCATTTACCCGAATTAATAAAATAAAAATCACATTCACTTGGTCAAAAATTAATCTTTGAAAATCACTGAAGATCATATACTAGTGCTATGTATAACAGTTTGATACACTATTATATATTCACTCCGTCCCATAATTATTGTCCATTTTATATTTTTATTTCTAGTTTAAATTGTACTAAAAGTGAAATCTCAAACTGGAAAATAATTTTGGGACAGAGGGGGAGAGTATAAATTAAGAAGGCATGGAACATTGGGTTGAGAGAAATATCCATATGAAGTTTCAGAATCTACGGCGTTTTTCACTGCGGGATTGGGTGATTTGCTGCAGCTATAGAGCTATCCCCATGCAATGCAGTCCCCAGATTTTTGTCCCGATTTAAACGAATAGATCTTTTAGGCTGCAGTAGCACCAAGCCAATATAGTAAGTTCAACTCAAAATTTTTGACCAAATTTGAGGTTATTTTCAGATGAGGTTGTTGAACTCACAAATAAGCCTAAAAACTGCACTCCATTATGAGTTTTCCCAGTTTGGCTCTATTCCTACAAAAAGAAGTAATAATTTTGTTTGCTTCTTTTTCAACTGATACAACTTAATCATTTTAGTCGCCAAATTTGTCGACCAAAAGTTGTATCAACCCTTCCAATGAGATACATATACGTTGTGGATGTAGTACAAGAACAATAGTTGTCACAATTCCATTGAGATCAACCATATGGTAAAATTCAATTTTCCTTTCATTCATATTTCACACTCTCCCTACTAAATTGTTATAGACGTTTTAATTACATTTCATTCACTAAAACAAAAACAACCAAATTTAACATTGTATCTCTTGAATTAAGATAAGGTTACATTAAAAGAAACCATACCATAAAAAAAAAACCACATAATTCAGATGAACACAAAACTTTTGCACCAGCATTGAAGTTGATTGAGATATGAAAAAAAATAAAAAATCATGCTACATAATTCCCTACCTAATTATCAAAAGCATGTGCAATAAAAACTTTCTCTCAAGGTAGTCTCCCTTACCAGGGGTGGGATTCATTCATGGACCACACACACACACACACACAGTCACACACACAACACCATAGATTAGTAGATTACAACACAATACCATATAGCCCACAAAGCTGAAATTGAAGCAGCGGCCTAAAATCTAAATGCAGTAGTAATTGCATTCCACCGGTCGACCACCGCTGACCACCACTGTTCCACCTATTTCCCAACAAATCTTTCTTTCTAATTCATCATTTCTTTCTTCTTCTTCTTCTTCTCGTACTACCTTTCATCCTACCCCTGCATTCATTCCCCATCTCCAGTTCTTTCTCAGTCCCTTTGTCCCCCCACACACATTTGTTCCACCACCGACTCCTCCACAATTTACACACACTCACACACTACTTCATTAACCACACCACAACTAACCCAAAACCCACTTTAAAAAAATTGCTGATCAAATCCGTACACCACCGAAGAAGACTCTCAACTGTTTCACAAGTTCCTCCCCCTTGCCACGTGTACAGTAGACCCCAACCCAAAACCCCACCAAACATTTATTATTATCTCGCTACTTCACACCTCTTTTTAGTGTTTTTTAGTTTCTTCCTCATAAATACACTCAACTTCCCCCCAAAATCCCTCCCCCCTCCGTAATCAATCTCTCCTTTCCAAATTTTCCACCGCCGTACCGGCGTTTTCCTTCCTTTTTTTGTCATCACCGGAGATGTCATTTTTTGATCCTCGGCCACCGCCGACTTCGCCGCCGATTAATGGCGGCTCGGTCCCCACTCCCACCACTCTCATCATTTCCCAGCCACAATACAGCAGCCGGAGCACTCCCACGGATATCCTCAGCGATTCCACTTCCTCCTCACCTCCAACGTCGCCGTCCACATCCATTATTATCGTCATCATCGTCATCGCCTCCGCTATCGTGGTCTCCGCCACTATTTACCTTCTCCTCCGCCTGCTTTCCCGCCGTTGCCGCAGCACTTTCCGCACATTTTCCTCCACCTCTTCGGTGGCGGAGGACGTCGTTTTGCCTAATCACCTCCGCGTTTCAGGCCGCGCCGAAGATCGGCGGTCGTTGAATCAGACGGTTCTGGAATCGCTTCCCCTGTTTACGTTCGGTTCAATCAAAGGCGGAAATTTTACGTCCGGCGATTGTGCGGTTTGCCTGAGCAAATTCGAACGGCAGGACCAGCTCCGGCTACTACCTCTCTGTTGCCACGCGTTCCACGCTGACTGTATCGGCGCGTGGCTGTCTTCCAACCTCACTTGCCCCCTCTGCCGCTCAACCGTAACTCCGACCGATCGAGATATCATTCATAAAATCCTCGGTCCGGATAATCCGGAGAGTAATAATAATGGCAACATTAACGGCGGCAACAACAGCATGAGCCGTAGCGGAAGCTTCCGCGTCGAAATCGGAAGTGTGAGCCGCCGACGAGAGGCAGGGGACGATGATCGGAGGACGTATTCTGTTGGCACGTTTGATTACATAGTGGATGATGCCTGTGAGGTTCCGATTGGTTCGATACATCAAAGAGGCGTTTCTGATTGTACGTCGGTCGATAAGGATTCCGTTAATAATATTCCGGTGACAGGGCCTCCGGGAGAAAATGTGGCTATGGATGTTGGCGGGAGCAGGAGTTGGCTGAGAGAGTACGTGGACAGGATCAGCTCTCTTTCTTTCTCGTCCCGGACGATGTCGTTTCGGAGCTCCGGGAGGTTCTTTGCCGGCAGTAGTCGCCGGAGTGAGGTGGTCGTCCCAATCGATGACTTGGAAGCCGGCCGGCAAGGGGAGGAAATTAGCGAGTTTTTCCGGTGGCTCTCCCCGGTATAAAAAAGTTCTTGTAAATTTCGACAACGGATGGAGGTCATTTTCGTCTTTCAATACGCCCGAGTTTTCCATTTATTGCTTAATCCACTGAAATTTTCAATTCAAAAACTAAAAATTCTTTTTTTTTTTTTTTTCCTTGAGTGGATTTTGCAAAATGTGGAGCTGTGTACAGAGCCTACTACAGATAGTAATCATGGAATTGGATATTATATTTGTTTATTGAGATTTGAGGTGTTCTTTTTACCCGTGGAATTAATTTGTCAAGGTCAAACATTAATCATGAATTTCCTTCCCTTTTGATTAATTACACACGGTTGATACTTGATAGTTTGTTTTCTTTTTAGGCATGATCTGTGCAGTGATTCTCGGAACCAAGTTCCATATAAGGATTTTCTCAGTTTTTGTTCGTGTTTATCACTCTTTTCGTCCCAAAATTATTGTTCTTATGAAGATTTTATTAGGCCAAAGAATTGTGGAGTAGTATAATTGGGATAGGTTTGTGCGTGTGTGTGTGTGTTTGAGGCTTCTGGACTTGGTTTAGTTGAGCTTGGTAAGCTGAACAATTTGGTCAAATATGGATAGATAAGCTTTAATGTAAGTTAGTTTAACCAAAACTTGAACTGAAAACCATAGTAAGGCTTTTTGTGATGATGTGTTCCTTCACTAAGTTCCATGCCCCTGAGTTTAAGGACTAAAAAATTGGTACCAAACGTATGCCATTGCCTTCTTCCTCACTGCACTTTTTCACCTTTTTGAAACTGGAAAAAAAAAAAAAAAAAAACAGAAAAGCAAAGATCAGACAAAAAGAAAAGGACAATAAAAAATTATGGAAATTACATAATGTGTTTGCATTTAATGATGTTCTTCCTTCAAGGCCGCTGCCCAATATCAACTTCTAGGTGAGTTTATGGTTTTAAAAAAATTGGAAATAGTTGAAAATTTTCTAGTTTAACAACTATTTTATCGAATTGTTTTTTTGGTCATGGAAGAAATCAAATTAGATAACGTCATTGTATGGTGGAGAGGGATTGTATCATTGTGTTTTGTTCTCCAACTCCAAGTGAAACCAAACAATTAACGTAAGATTTGTGTGTTTTGTTCTTAGGACAATTAGAACAAGTACGAATTCCTTACGAAACACGAGAAATTTTTTCTCGTGATATTACAACTACTATATGCCACGTCACATGTTGAATTTTGTTGGCATGGATTACGGGATAAAAATGGATCCTCTATTTTATTCACTGTGTATCAATAATATCGTAAATATTGATGACTACACTAGGTGTGTTATGTTACGTACAATAATAACATTGTTTTTTTTATTACAATAAAAGAGGCACACAGCTTAATATCGACTTCTTACGTTACGAAAATATGTTACCATGATAACATTATTTTATTAATAAAACATAATTATTTATACAGATGAGATGATATGATACGGAGATTAAAAGGGTCGAAGGAGGTAGATTTTAGATAGTGTTCATACAATAATAATATCTACATTCCATGGGCAGCTAGTTTGAAGAAACAAACAAGAGTTAGCTTTCATGTGAGGATAATTAAGTCGCATCCAAAATATTGGTGATGGTGATAGTGTTTGGTAATCCGTAACTATGCATCTGTGGTCCACTCCCTAGAGAAGTACTTGGAATTCTTAAAATTATATAAATACTTAAGTATTAACATTGCCGAAAAACATGGATCACTTTCATATGTTTTGAGTCTTATCAATAATCAATTGATTAATTAATTAATTTCATGTGCATTTCTTCCCATGATCATTGCCCAGCACACGAAGCCTGGAAGAATTGCCAATTTTTATTGAGAATCTTGACTCCCAATTGCGTCTGTTTTACTCAACTCATACCATATTATTATAGTACTCAAACAAAATGAACAGATAAATTATTGGCAATTCTCTATGGTTATGACTTATAAGGATTGTGACGCCAGATATATTATAGTTCTGGGGAGGAAATTTTTAATATCTTGGATAAGTTAACGAGTCTTATTAATATGGCTACAAAATTAATCAGAATACAGTCCAATTTCTTTTCGACTTTTCGAACTTAGTTTGCCACGTGGTGTGCCAGTAAAGAAGATTGGAAGAGCTTGACTCAAGAAAACGTTTTAAATCTAAACATAAGATTTTCTTTCTTTCCCAATTTTGTGAATTAACTGTGATATACTCAATTACTCAGGGTGTCTCCAAATACTACCTCCGTCCCCAAAAAATAGTTCACATTGAGATTTTAAATTTATACTAAAAATAGTACAAAACTCAAAACTCAAAGTGAACTATTTTTATGGGACGGAAGAAGTAGTAATAAGCGTACATTTTGGTGGAGGAAAGGATATGAAGAATATAGGTTGATATGTGGATATAACAAAAAGTAAAAAGATCAATGATCTCATTTGCCCAAGTTTAGGAAATTTAGGACTAGTGAAAAACAATGTCTGGAAGGGAAGAATAACACAAGTATGTGATCTTTGTCTTTAGGTACTAGGAAGTGTAACTTACTTGAACTGCACGCATTTTCGTACCATTCAGACAGATTTCAGCATAAACACACACAAAAAAAAAGCAGGCGTTGAAAAAATCATCCTGAACCTTAGCTACTGTTCCAGAGATACAATGATAAAGTGCAAAATATGCTGACTAAAACTTTTCCATTTTTTTGGGTGAGACCATAAGGATCCCGTTGCAGTAACATTTTCTTCTCGCTTTTAATTAATATGAATCTCTTTAATTATTCTTCCCGATCCATCAAGTTTAGTCCTTTTTCTTCTCAAATAAAATTTTAATATAGTATACTTTCTCTATCCTATATTTTAGTCCAGCAATGAATTTATTAAAATGAACCGGAAGGACTACATGTACTACCATATCTTAGCATACCAAAGTAGCCAAAGTAAGCTTCTAACGGGGTTGAATTTTCTCTATTTTTGCCTGGATTGGATGGAATGTTTCTGTGGATCAATGGGGTTGGTTTACTTCAGAAAAAGTAGTACTCCCTCCGTCCCATAATTATTGTCCAGTTTTACTAAAATGAAAGATTTTATTTTTAGTCAAACTTAACTATATTTTACCTTAAACAACCGGATATACCCCTACATAAGTAATTGTTTAACCACTAAGATTTTATGGATAATATTTTTTACTAAGGACAAATGTGTAACTTGATCCATAAAAAGTTAAATTGGACAATAATTTTGGGACAAAATTTTTTTGGCAAAATGGACAATAATTATGGGACGGAGGGAGTATTTCAGAATAAATCCTTCATCCATATGTATGCATTGTACCAACACCGAAGCAATAATATTGTTGGTAGTTGGTCCTTATTAATCTCAAGTGGGCTGGCTTTGAGCCTTTGACTAGATGCGGATCCTATCATTGGTCCTACAACAATATTATACCTGTGTTCTGTAATAACATAATAGTCATAATATATATTTCCCTTCTGAAATTGACAAAAGTACAAGGATTTTCATTTGGAAAAGATGAAATTAATCTTTTTGTTTTCACTTATGATTTAAGTTTTAAATTTGATCAAATGCAGAGGAGTTACTGTGGAGATCATATCATAATCGTCATAATCAATTTTTGATGTCGAAAGACTCCCTACTTCTTGATGATATAGAGAAGAAAAAGTTTATACCTAAAACTGTAAAAAAAAATTGTAAATATGTGGAAGCAAATTGAAATGAGGTAAGCCTTGAAAGAAGTAATTGATCTCAAACAGAGGGAATAAGTGAAAAAAGAGTACAAGAATGAGGACAATAATTATGGGACGGAGGGAGTATAAAATAAACAAATACTCGCAAGATGAACTTTGAAACTAATTTTTTGCTAGTAGAGACTGTAGACTTGTAGACCAAAATTTCCTTCTTGATCATATACGTATCCGAAATTATTTTATGGACTTATTGGGCTGACTTCAAACAAACATTGGAATCATTTCCATGTCCAAATATACAAGCCGTATTCAACCCATCACAAGCTTACTTTATTATGAGCTTGGGATGGGCTCCAAGATACCATCATCTTTGATTCTCAACTACTATTTATTTGGAGTATAATTTTTTTTAAGAAAACAGAAGGAAGGAAATGGAATTGATGATTCTTCAACCATTATCCATAGAAAAAAGCATCTCATTTAGTTGTAATGTTGGGAAAACATAAAAAACATGGAATTTAAGCTTTAAGGTAACCTCTTTATGTAAAGTTCAAGTGGAATTGTTGAAACACAAGCAAACATAATAATAATAATAATACAATGGTCCAATTGTTCATAAAAGAAGCTTCATTCTTCCTATTTCCTTTGCTGCACGAATCTGTACTGGTTCCACTGTAGCATCCCTTTTTCTGCTTGATGATTCCTTTACCAAGATCATCAAGAACAAACGTACTCTTTGCTTCACCATCACTAAACAAAATGCACCACAAGTAAGGACCCTTATGCTTATGGACTCCCAAATATTCCAACTCCTACTTCATTATGCGATTTATTTACCACCAGGGAAAGCGATTTTCGGTCTGGAACAAGGACTTGTGAGAATGCTTCTGAAGGCGTGAGACATTGATGATGACAGCCAACCGTGTAGCCGGATATTGCCGCAATTTGGAGCGAAAACTTCTGTAAAATCATCTTCTGGGGCCTGGCAGTTAATGGTATTGTTGCTGGCTAGGCAGTTGTTCTGGCATTGCCCTGCAGTTTGCTAACTGAAGGGCAATGCAGGCTAAACCAGGGCTAATGTTTAATTCAGGAAGCTTATGTGCTGTTCTGTTCTTGTTTAGGATATCAACAAGATCATCTGCGGGGTTCTCTGCAGGACGATGCAGCAAAAAAAAAAAAATGTAATTAGTCAAATGATCTCATGTTGAATCAAGTAATGGTCAGGGAATCAGGCCTGAAAATGCAGAAAAATCTGAGGATTCTGAGCTACTTACCATAGTTTCGCAATTCTTAAGTAAAAAACTAAAAAGATGAAATTGCGAAATGGGATTGTTCCCATTTGGTGCTTCGTAAAATCATGCTGTTGAGCTGTTTCTCCCTTAATTTTTTCCTTTTCTTTTTCCTTCTAGACTTACAATCTTTTAAGCCAAACTTAGTTCCGAACTTCTGATTCAGTAAACATGATCGTTTTTTCAGGTAGTGTTACATAATCACTATCATTCCAAATACTCTGTTTGAGATACGTTGTCTAATCCCACTTACTCTAATAGTCTAGACACTCGTAGGAAAATTTGATTAAGTTACATCACATTAGTTTAACGAAAAAAATTAAAATAAAACTAATTACGTTGAATTGTGTCAGAGTCCCTACACTAAAAAAATGTTCTAGTAAGAAAGCGAGGGATTTCTATACTTATAATCAAAGATAGATTAACTGAACCTTCATGTTGAATTATTAATAATAACTGAAACTATAAATCACAACTATCTGTACACCTATTGAAATGACATTTGTTACGAGAAGGGAAAAAACAACCAAAACAAGCCGTGAATTTAAACCATACGTTATTCCAAAATAAGAGTCGTGGTATCTATGCCGTTTTAGTTTAAACAAACAGAACTCATAATTCCGATTAAATGCACACAAGTACGTGAGAGACAAATGTAAACTAGCTAGTACAAGCCAAAGGTCCGTTAAAATCTAAGTTTGACTACTAATTTGTTAAGATTGCGTAAAATGTAGCAATTAGCAGTTACAAAATAGTATTCAAATGGAGATTTACCAATTGTGAAGACTCAAGAGTAATAAGCATTTATTAATGGTGGCACCTCTGCCATGCATAATCTCCTTATAAATACCCCTTATTCGTTAATCTATGGTGTCATATCATCCATCTTTTTTTCGCAACATATAGAAGTTTTCAGTCTCTTCTCATTAGTACACAACAAAAATTGAGTTCTTTTTGCAAATGGCAAAATTCAGAGTGATCATAGCAACCATATTCATCGGTTTTCTGGCAATTTGCAGCCAAATGTTCAGCACTTCAGCTGGGACCGATGTTGGCGGGGTGGGATCATCCTCTCCAACTGTTTTTGGTCAGAAACAGGAACAATTCTCGCCGGAGCAACCAAGAGATGGTCGTAAAATGCTGTCTTGTTGGGATGGGTGTTGGCCATTATGCACTTGCAAGTTACCAAAAGTTCCACAAGATGTAGGCAAGGAGAATGTTGTTACTCCTGTTCCCCATTAATAATGGAGTCCATCTTTGTACCTTTGTTTTGAATAAGATTTTTTTGGAGATTAATGACAAAGGTTTATTCCCATCCAATTGAATGTGTACCTCAGAGTTTGGATCCTCTGTTACTTTTATGTTGTCTAATTAAAATGTGTAGTACTTGTCTGTTTAGGTTGACGAATTTCCCTCAGTTATCAACTTTTAGAGAAATTTGCAATTATCCTCCTCGAGATCATAAACTGATATATGCACGTTAATATAAAATTATGTTTTTCTATGTATAATTACTGGAATGTGTAGTATTTAAAAATTAATTGCACCAAAAGTTGAAAAAGAAGAAGAAGAAGAAAAAAAAAAAGAACTTGAGACAAATAAACATAATACTATCAAGTAGTAGTATTTTTCTTTCTATCAAGAATAAACGAAACATGAATTGGGTTTTCATACTGGGAGTGCGTGTAGCCCAACTTTGAGAGAGTTTTATTGGGCTTAAAAAAAATGTCTCAGATCCTCGAAGTCTCTAGAACTTAAGTGTGATTGAGCGTAACAATCAAAGAGGGCCCAGATTTTAGTATCCACCTTAAATTTGTCCATTTTTCGTTTCCGAATCAGCAAAACAACATACTTTCTCCTCTGCAGTCTTTTTGGCTCTGCGATTTTGTGCTGCCTTATCCATGGCGTCCTCCTTCATTACTATGGCAAAACCCCTTGCTTATTCCAACCCAAACGTCCAGCTTTTCTCTGCCAAAAGACCCATCGGTAAGATTTCTTATTCCCCTTTATTGTCTGGTTGATTTTGATTTCCCCCCTCCCGATAATTTGGTACCAGGTTATGACTTTATGTAATGTTAATCTCCGGTCTCTGCAGTTTTTGCTCGAAAAAATAATCTCAGAGTGAATGCAATTGCCAAGAAATTCGAACCCACAAAGGTTTGTGTATTATAGTGTCATTTGCACCTCAAAATTGGTTTGCTTTTTCTTAACCCCCCACCCACATTTTGTAAGTAGTGAATTAGTCATTTTCTTTTGGAAAGGTTATATTAGGTTTCTTTATTTCCTAGCATCTCTTGGGAATGAAAAGTTCTGATGGGTTTCTTCTTTGTAATGTCGTATAGGTTAAGCCGCAAGCAGATAGAGTCTTGATAAGGCTAGAGCAGCTACCGGAGGTACTGTTATGGACTCTCTTCTTTATGAACTTTAAACTCTATGGTGTGAAATTTTTTTCTTTGGTTTCACTCACAATATAATTACTTGATGCTATTATGGCCGGAAGAGTTTTGTATCAAGTTCTTTTGGAGGAACATTTAGCAGAAGCTTACGTAATAGCTTCTTCGATTTTAATCATGGTTTTTCAAAAAAAAAATAAAAATAAAAATGGTTCTACCATTTTAGATGCATTAGTTTTTGTGGACGTTGTGCTCAATTACTATTAGTAACCTGCATTTATGGAAGTTGGACTCCATGGAACTGAAAATTTGAAGTTACTTTGCTAGTCATGTGTTAGTGGTTTTTACTTTAAGGTGGTGGATTTACTTTTGGATTCAAAGTTTTGATGAATATACCATATTATTATGTTCAATTGTACATAACCCGTGCGCCATCATTTTAAGCATGTGTATACTCAAGTTGCTAATTTAATTCATGGATATGTTGGAAACACATCAATGGTCATGTAGACTTCTAAATGCCTGCATTATTCATTTGACAACAATTGGCCAATGGATTGGTTTATTCACAGAAATCTGCTGGAGGAGTGTTGCTGCCTAAATCAGCCGTGAAGTTTGAAAGATACCTTATGGGAGAGGTAAGTGAAAGAGGAATATCAATAGTCTAATATGCTTATCGGTGCATGAGAAGTAGACTGTGCTTGATTGTTGTTCTTTTGGTGGCTTGGATCTCACTTTAGGTCATATCCGTGGGTTCTGAGGTTGGTGAATTGGACAGCGGAAAGAAGGTATCTTCATAAAGTTTAACTTCTGGAGAGAATTCTTCTGCGGTTGTTTTGATTATACTGCATTACTGAACTGGTCATTTTTTTGGAGGGCCTAATTTGTCTCTTTATACAAATTGCAGGTTATTTTCTCCGACTTAAATGCCTATGAGGTGTGTAACTTTATTCCCTTCTTACTTAATTCTTCAGCACCCCAAGTGCCCTTATTCTGATCTATACTTCCATACCTTAGGTTTAGAATTTTAACAAAAAGATGGTACCTCAATGGAATCCAAACTAAGATAACATCCTCAATAACGTCCAATTTCTTAGTCTCACCAATTTTTAGTGACTTTTTTTTTGGTACTACCGATTTTTAGTGACTTTGAATTCTTACATTTCAATGCTGGTGAAAAGCGAGAAATAGTGCAATATGAAGAATCTTTAGCTCGCCAGGGACTTAAAAATATAAACAGTTGGAGTTTTAATTGAGTTGAGGATGGCATTAACTTTGGCTTTAACAAGGATATATAATTTGGGCTATCTAACGATTTTAAGATGCAGTAGAAGAGCTTATATTTTCATCATATGATGTTACTTTGATTCATTGGTCTTTAAGTATCCATACTGTGGTTAATCTCTCAGGTGGACTTGGGAACAGAAGCTAAACACTGCTTTTGCAAGTTCAGCGACTTGCTTGCTGTGGTTGAATAAATTCAAGAGAGGAACCTGCATTTTTTGTCAACCACAATTCAGTTGGTGAACGTACCAACAATTTTTTGGCTGCGCAACTCGTTATGTAATGAAATTGTGAAACATTCCTTACGATAAATGGTTAGCAGTAATGCATATGTGATGCCATTGTACTTCTTACTATGTGGTGATCAGTTTAGTTACACATTCAATGGCTTACTGTGCGAGTTTTGGCTGATTTTCACTTTATAGTGGTCAGACTGAAGGAGTTTTAATGGCAATGTTATGTAATTTTATATTAAAAAAACCTGTCGAAGCATGCATTAAGGTTGGTACACGATGATGCACCTAATATTTATCGATCACATAATGAGACAATGGCAACGGACGTTTTCTTCACTAAGAACTTGATAATTTTATTATCAAGACACAATTATGATTATGGATATATTTGATATTTTTGAATGGGGTTAAAGTACTTACGCGCTCACAGTCTTATCTCATTCCTGATATAATGTCAGCTGAGAATGAAGGAATCAATTTACAGATATAAACCAATCGGCTGCACCAACCACTGCCCGAACAAAAATTTTCCTCATCTCTTTTGTTATCGTTTGCTTTGAAAGAATGTCAAAGAGCCACAGCTAAATAAATGGATTAATATTTCCTATTTCGACTGAAAATGGAGGGAAAACATGGGTTTTGACTCAGAGTCAATGGCAAAAACAAACTAGAGTTGAGCAGTAAACTAAAACTCAAACATGCGCAATTCTATCATTCCTTCTTTCCTCTTGGGAGAATACCATGCTACCACTTTCCCAGATTGCAACAGCCTCAGCGAATAGCTCAAGCTGTAGATTACATCTTCCACACGTGGGCCGCGATGGCCAGTTGATGAGGAATCCAGCGAATACTGAGAATCCAGTCGAAACACAATTGGTCCCCAAACCTACAAAATCAGAAAAGAAAAACCAAAAAAATGAAATAAAAATGAGGCTGATAGACTTTTAACTAAGGTTCGACAGCTACAATCATTCAAATCTTCTCTCTCCACTACTACTTCTATGTACAGAATCTCAGTTCATCAAAAGCAGCATAAAGGAGGATAACAAAAGGTGATTGAAAAAGCATATATACCTGCTGCTGTAGTATCAAATTTAATCTCGGAGAAGATGCAGAACTCTCTGCACCGGGGTTGGAATTCTTCCTGACGACATTAGAAATCTGCCTAGTTAAAGCCATAAATGAAGTAACATCCAATCGGGCATCTAATCTTGTAAGGTCCCCAAGTGAGTTTCTAAACTTCCCATGCTGGAAGGTATAGTTGAATGACCCAAAACAATCAAGACTCAAAGGACTTCTACAGCTAGCAAGATGAGTGGTATTGCCCCTGACTTCCTCAGATTCACCGGCTGGTGTGCTCTTCCCGTTACCAAACCATGATGTACAAGTGGCACCTAAGTGCATGTTGAAAGAACAAAAAGGTCAAAAGAATGTCAAAAGGCACTAAAAGCAATTCAACCAGATAACAAGTTTCAACAAAATTCAAGATATGTAGTTAAACATGTGATATGCTGAAGGTATGGCACTTATACTTGGCAGTTGCAGATAAACTGACAGTTGAGGGACAACCAATCATTGTTTCATGTCACATAAGTTCAAAACTTCAAGAACTTGCGAAGAACTTTACAAATTATTGAGCCAAGGATAGATAACAGAAAGCGGAAAGGAGCAGACAGTTGTAGCTATGCAGAATAAGAATAAGATAGTTAATGAAGCAGCAAATACCAATTATTCCTGATATTGCTGAATGAGGTTCTTTAAGACGAATATCATAGGCAGGCCGAAAGTATTTTCCCTTGGGTGTCTTGATTACGACATCCTCTTCTTTCTCTTCTTGTCTCCAAATGTCTTTGCTCTTTTCATAAGACATGGCAGCTTTTGCACAAAATCCTGGCTTTAGAGCAAGAGGTGGCTCAGCAGAGATAGAGGGATCAACAGGCTGGGGAAGGCCACCATTTCTATGTATGCCAAAGCGGTAGCGCAATCCAGATTCCGAAACAAGGGACAAACAGTCAATGGATATGGATTCCGGAACATCCCAGTACTTTCCATTCTTGTCTATGAACAACTCAGGCCATGCTGCCTCCAAGGTAATATCATGATTAGGAAGCTGATGTTCAATAGACAAAAAGTAGCATGAATTCAGTTGCAGGCTTGGAAACAATGCCAAACACAGTTTAACACACATATTAAGAGTGAAACAGAAATGCAACCTTTGTTATGACACAGACCATGTTGGGAATACTTATAGGGTATTGCCGATGTTTTTGCCCATGCAACTAAGTGACAAGCAGCATAAGGTATCCACGCCATTTAATAGACCGATGAACCCAACAAATTAACAAAGAAGATGCCCTAGAACCCAACAAACACACATAATCAATGACATAAACATTTTGCCACTATGATATATAACAACTTCGGTGATGGGAGCTACTTCCACAGAAGACTCAGCAGGTCAATAATGGTGAAGCAAAAAAGGCATTCAGAATTCCGAGATAGAGAACATCCAAGCAGATTAACTATAAGAAATTAGTAAAGTCAGAGTTGTTACCTGATGAGAGAAGATGGCCCTAGATCGGCGTCCTTTCCTTTCACCGCGCTTCTCTGTACTCAGCAAAAGGAAAGAGGAGGATGTCAATGCAATCTGGGCACACAGACCAAGCGAAAAAAGTGATTTGTCTAAGAAATGCCTAGCAACATCTTTGAAGGCAGGTATCTCCCACTCATCTCCATCATAACATTCTGCTTTGATGGAAGATATCAATTTTCTTGGACGGAATTGCCCGATAATCCCCAGCCACCTGTTTATATGTTTTGAGAGACAGATCCATAAATGAGGTAAACTTTGAGAATCAATACTAAAGCACATCAGTTTTTTTTAGAATAAGACAGTTAAGTCAACTTCATAATAATGCCATGGTATACTAGAGTTGCAGTAGTAATTTTCTTGAACTTTTCTGGAATTTAAAAGCAGCTTCGCCCATAATAAGATATACAGAAAGAGATAAAGCTTAACTTGTTTTCATCCTTTTCCTACCTCTCTATATTTCAATATGTTTGCTTTTTCTCAACTCTTAAATGCCAGGTGGTTCATGATAGCATGCATAATTCAAAGAATAATACATATAACACAAATAGAAAATAAATAAAGACTTTCTTGGGTTTGAAAAAAGAAAAAAGCAAATGCTATTTTCTGCAAACAAAATAACCACATTTGGCACTGTCAGTTTCTGATCAGATACCGAAAATTCAAACAACACATCCAATCACATGTCTACTTCTGGTAATTAAAGATAAAAACTCGCAATATATTTTACCATTAAATCTTTAAAATGTGCATATAGTAGGAATTACATCTTTGCACCTTATCTAAGCCCTAGTAACAAAAGGGCATTCACTGAGATTCATACAGAAACATCCCAAAAATTAAGGTTCATTCTCTCTGTCAACTCCCTCTTCATTTGTCATGTGGGATGCGTGTAGTGCATAGGATGGGCAGAATTGGATTGCACGATTATTATTAAGCATTTGATGAGCAAAATGTACCGAGGGAATTGACATGGGTGCAAAAGAAGGCGTTGAAGTGGTTAAAAGTATGCATCATTATCCACAAATACTACACCATGTTTAACCCAATCCCAACATAAATGTAGAATACAAAACAACTCATCATCACAAACACATAGAATCCTAAAACGCAACCAATGGTGTATGAATTGATAAGCCAAAGTGGACAAGAAACACTGTTGATCCTCTTTCTATGAATAAAATCAGCTCGAATCGTTGCAGTCGATGCTTATTATTATCAAATGCAAGGAATTGCGCAGTCATCCACCAAGGAGAGTGGACAAACAACTTCTCGTTTTCCTTTTTTTGGGTGAAAAATAAGCCAACATTTTCTGACATCGAAATTTGCAACTTCCCACAGAATAAATTCCTAACCACAAAAAAAAAAAACACTTAGGACTTAAAAAATAAACAGAGTATAATCAATTACCAATCCGGGGACACAGTTTTGAACAAAAGGGAGTGAAGTGCGAAAGAGCCCAGTTCCTTTTGTGGCGTCGGAGACCAAACGGGTAGAATCCCCAACGGAAACCCTTGTTTCAGGAAAGACAGCTGTTGCATTCTGAGGGCTCCGCTAGCTCTGGCGCCATCTAACGGAATGGGTTCGCCGGGAATTGAACGGGCCACTCCGTCAAAGGACTGGGAGGTGGAAATGTTAAGGTCCCAAAACCCGGCATCCATTGCTGTCCTTAGTTTGGCCATTTTCCGGTGAACTTCGGAACGGCCGGCAGGGTTCAGGCGGGAGGGAAGGGGAGGACAACTTACGCTTTGTGGCTGGTTTGGTGGATTTCCTTATCTGATTGTGACCATCGTTTGGAAGAATGCGGGCGGGGTTTTGCGAAATGTGTGTTCTTTTTTTTTTCTAGTCTTCCGAGGTTTTAGTTTCTTTTAGACTTAATTTCAAATATTCCCACATGAATTTTTTGTTCTCTTCAAAATACCCTTAAGAGAATATTTGTAACAATTTACTACCTCTTTTGTTTTCAGTTTTTTCTTTTGTATCCTTTGTTTGAAATTTCATGTTACAGATTCCTTTATAATTTTTTTTCCCTCGAATTCAGTTACGGATATTGTTATTGGAGTTCTTAACAAAAAAAAATCAAGAAAAATAGAAGTGACCAAAAATAGTTCAGGAATAATGGAGTAACCAAAAGTATGCATATCGGATTTCCGAAATCCGATTTGAACTTTGGATGTGAATGAAAATCGGATATATCAACCTAAAATCGGATTTCGGAAGTCAGATATTCATGTTGATGGCCACACCCCCATTCCTGAACTATTTTTGGCCACTTCTTTTTTTTTTTTTAGAAATTATTTAACTCAAGTCATAATGTGTAAAAAATTGTATATTTGTTAACCTATTACATTAATTGTGATATGTATAAGGGTTTTTTTTTATTTAAAAAAAAAAACGAACCTATCTAGACATTTAATTTACGAAATGGAGACGATTGAACGATCAAGGCCGGCGAGTCATCTCATGTGCATCTTTTCGGGCTGTAAATTTCTTTTAGGCAACTTTTTTTTTTCTTTTCTCATAATTAATCTCTCATCTCGGTAGTTAGGCATTTTTCTTTCATGTCGTTCTAATTTGTTCGTTTTGTGCAGGATTAATGAGGAAAATAAACCTAATTCTGTCTTGTTTATTAGCAATACTATATGTATATGTTTGTGTGGAAATCAGGAAAGTTCTCCAAGCAAATAATTTTTCTAGCTAGGGAAGGTTTATGTTTTTGTAGGTCAATAATTATATATATTAATCAATATTATAATTTTTTTCAGTTTTGTTACGAACAGAACATGGAGTGATGGAAGATAAAAGCCTTATAGATGCGTGTAAGCAAGGAAAATACACTTTTAGCCAAATTTCATCATCCTATAATTTGAACAAAATAGGAGTCCAACCAAATAACTTTTGTACATTCACACTTTATAGACTAACTTAAAACGGACTATATAATAATATATATATATATATATATATATACGAAAAAAAAGACACCTTGAGTGAATTATTATTTGTAATTTCACCCTTATATCAACATCTACATTATTAATTAGCTCCTCATTCTCTTTCTCATGATGCTCATGAAGACTATCTTTTGTTCATGCATGGCAGCTCCCAAAGAATGTGTAATTAATCAGCCAGCTAATTAATGTGTCTGTATCTTCTTAGATGATAGAGTTTTTTTTTCTTAATTTAATTTATAATTTTGTGTCAAATGTCAACATATTTCAATTTCATACACATTTGCCAGCATCATGGTTCAGCTTAATTAATAATGGTATCCCCCCAATTATCTTGGGATATTAGCCAATTTCAGTCACGATAAGTTCCAACGTTTTATGATTAATTTTGGAATGTTATAGAATGGTACGTAGTCATTTCATGTATATGTTTAATTCAAGTAATTATGATTGTGTACTGTATTTTGTTATACAATTTTAGCTGTGAACGACTATTAAAGAAGGACGGAGGAATGATGTAAATTAGAGTAAAGACATTATAGTAAATTGGCTTGGAGGAAGGTAACACTTCATTATCATTTCTGATATGATCGATCCTTCGACCTCATGGAATTTTCAGTTTCCAGTCTCAAACTCTCAAGTTTCTCAAACACTGTACTTCCACGGTTCTAAAAAGAGTACCACAAGGAACCAAATTTCTACCATGTTGAAGTAAGGAAAATGTGACAGATAACCAACATAAAATGACATATTAACAATCCAACTTTATGTTATAAAGATAAGCATTAAAAATAAAATATATATATATATATATTTTTTTGATGAGGGATGGAACTATGATATGGGACCCAAAAGTGAAGTCGTTTTTTTTTTTTTTTGTTTTTTGTTTTTTGTTTTTGTTTTTTTTTCTGTTTTTAAGAAAAGAAGAAGGAAAAGAGAGGGTTCTTTCCAAATGCACTCACCAAACCCATTCCCCTAAACATCTATATAAATCAAGTGAAAATGATCAAAGCAGAAAACAAGCCAAAAAAAAAGAAGAAGAGCGAACCAATTAAACCATGCCATACACTAAACAAGAAAGAAGAAGATGATGATGATCATGAAGAAAACTCTTTTCTCCTCCTCCTCCTCCACTTTTTGTCCTCTAACCACCCTTTTAATCCTCGTTTTCCTCCTCCGTTTCGCCCGCGAAATCACCGGCCAAGACAACCTAATCAACCAAACTTGCAAAACATTTGCCAAAGCTGATCCAAACATCCATTTCACTTTTTGCCAGACTACTCTCCAAGCTGCGCCAGCCAGCCATTGCGCTACCCTCCGCGGGCTAGGGATGATTAACCTACGGTTGATCCGTTACAATGTCACCGACACGCGGTGCCACGTCAAACAACTCCTCAAGAACAACCCTAGGTTGGATCCTTACGTCAAGAATTGCTTGAATGATTGTTTCGATCTGTATTCGGACGCCATCGATTATTCGAAGCAAGCCATGAAATCCTACAACTCGAAGAAGTTTGACGATGCTAACGTCCAGATAAGCGCGGTTTTGGATGCAGCCACAACTTGTGAGGATGGTTTCAAGGAGAAGAAAGGTGTAGTTTCTCCATTAACTAAGAGGAATAATGATACTTTCCAGTTGACTGCCATGGGATTGAATTTTATGCATTTAATTCAGAAGGGATCATCTTGATATGGATGATGATGATGATGATGATCATGTGGATTATTTGATAATTGGTACATAAATTATCTATCTTTGATTGTAGCCATATTAGTTTCTGTATTTCCTAATTGATTTGATTGCCTAAAACGAGAACTTTGGACATCTCTATGAACTTTGGACAACTATGTAACAACATATGGTTCATTTGTAAGATTTTGTTTGTAATTTAGTGCATTCTGAGATCGATGAAGTTGATCAATTTGAATGAGATGGTGTGCTTGTGTGAATTACAAAGGACAACTTGGTTGCCAAGTTGGTTTTTAGTGTCGATGAAAATAAGGCAAACATTTTAGAAAGAAGAAGCAAAAGTTGGATGAAAGTATGCCCAATATAGGAGGAGTAACGTAGAATTTAATTATTGTTGACTACTTGTTTCTAATAAGACTTGATTTCTACACCAATTTTTTTGCACTTATAAAGAGCTTTCTAGTAATAACATAAATATACAAACTTTCAAATTTAAAATTATTTAATGGACACATGGACATTGTGGTTGGCTTGGCAATAATATATTCCTTCCATCCCAGAAAAATAGTCTACATTAAATTTGAGACTTTTACTAAAAACGGTACAAATCTCAAAATTTAATTATTTTTTGGGACAAAGAGAATATATATATATATATATATATATATATATATACTTGTTCCATCCTAAAAAAAATCATGTTATATAAGTCAATAAACAAAACCTTTTTCTTATGAAAAAAAAAAAAAGAAGAAGAAGAAACACAGGAAGTGCAACTTGTTTTCTCTTGGCCTTGATGATCCCAGTGATACATGCAACTCCTACAAGAGATATATATTAGTGATTTAGTGTATTGCTACGTAATCTCTTTCCTTTTCTTTTTATAGTAGAGGAGTCGAACATTACATTAAATTCAATATATTTTAGAAGTAAGAAATGCCTATCAAGTGGTGTTTTGGTCACAATATATATGCGCATTTTCTGAGTTAAAATAGTGAAACGTGCGTGAGATCTGCCGTTATTTTTCCCTTTACATCAAAGAAAACTTAAAGCAGCTCTCTTAATCTGTTGTTTCGTTTTCTTTCTTTCTTTTTTTTTTCTTTCTTTTTTTTTTGTGTGTTCAAGATACTCATATCAAGCACATGAAATTCGTGGTTATTAACTTTTGTTAGGCCTAGCTGTCCAAATTTTGGGAATCATACATTGACGATAAAGTTATATATATTATTATTTTTTAAGGTTAACTTCCGAACAGATTATATTTGTTTCCAAATTATAGTGATTTTGATATTTGAGTCTCCTGGACTTATGAAATGTAAGCTCAAAAAATGATTTTTTTTCTCCCTCTTTATTACTGCTTTCTCTGTCTAATATTAGTAGTGTATTTTATTGAACTAGTGCTGAGGATCCGTTGCGCGTCGCGCTATGCATTCTGTAAATAATTTGTTGTCTTTATTTTTATTTTTGAATAAGTTTTCTTTATTATTTGATTTTGTTGTTAGAAGAGTAATTGGTAAATTATTATGTATGAAGTGAAAGTATTAAACTGTAGCAAGTACAACTATGTACTAAATAAAACAGTGAATAAGATGAATCCATTTTTATAATTTTTTTTATCCATATCAAGTCATTGCAAGTTGTAATATTTCTTCGAACACCACATTTCGAGTTTTGGTATCCTCGATAACGTCCTCTAACGTCGGCAACATTAGGAGTACTTTTAGGGATTTGGACGTCTTGGCGCGACATAGAGCAATGTATAGCTGACTGTGAGAGAAGACCTACGTAAGTGTAATGTCTTCTGTTTTGCCAATTATTGGTCATCATGAAGCAGAGTTTTACTGAAAACTATGCATAAATAAAATCCTTAAAAATGGGTATGACGGTTCATCAATTATTGCTGCGTGGAGACTCAATTTCGAAATATTCAGACTATAACTGGATCAAATGACGGAGATAACTCTCCCCAAATACTTGTTAGCACTAATTATTTTGGAATGCGAATTTGCTCAATTTCGGAACATTCAGACTATAACTGTTTAGAAAATTAGAGTTACAACCAACAAGTTTTGGTTTATCATAATTTACTATATTGTGATAATAGTAAATTATAACACTTACAATCGTGTAATAAAATGAATAAGTGTCTATTGTTTTCAAGTTTCTATAGTATTGAAAAAATTTACCCAAAGAAATGTAGAGTAAAAAAATAAGAGAAATTTTAAAATGAAAATATAAAGAAAAAAATTAGACATAAAAAAAATATTTGAGTAATTATAACAATATTACCATTGCAATTAGGTTAATGGTAAGTTTTACACATTTTATCTTTTTTCTATTTTGTTTTTTTGTTCATTTATGTTAGGGTACCTATATTCATGTTTTATTCATACATGTAAATATTATCTCTGAGTTGCTAATATATTATTAAATATATATAAACAAGAAGGTTTAATAACTAAAAAAAATATTCGGGTGAAAAAATAATAGAATGAAATTTCGAAAAAAACGACACTAAAATTAACAAAAAAAATATAAAATAATATTGGAGAGGGAAAAATGAAAAAACAGGTTGTTAGTTTGGAATAAAGTGTAACCTCTTTAACCAGTTTTTTCCAAAGTAAATGCAAGGGAGATCTGTGGCTAATAGCACTTGCCTGTAATATCTTAGATACTATCTAGGCGAATTATGCACATGGAGTCTTAATCTATGCACATCGGGTCTGGATCCATGCGTATGGGGTCTCAAATTATGCATATGTGCTCTGGATCCATGCAAATACAGTCTGAATTTATGGACAGACTATGGATCCATGCACATGGAGTCTTGAATTATGCACATAAACTCTAAATCTATGGACATAGATTAGTTTGTGCAGCGTAATAGCCGAACGTAAGAATCAAACTCGAGTACACTGAGCCAGAAGAAAAATAAACGCCAGCTACACTTATAATAAGTATATATTTTTGTATGGGGTCTCAAATTATGCGTATATGCTCTGGATCCATGCAGATAGGGTCTGGATTTATGGACATGAGGTATAGACTATGGATTCATACACATGACGTCTTGAATTATGCACATAAATTCTAAATCTATGCACATGGATTAGTTTGTGCTGCGTAATAGCCGAACGTAAGAATCAAAGTCGAGTACACTGAGCTGGAAGAAAAATAAACGCCAGCTACTCTTATAATAAGTATATATTTTTGTTTATTAAATATATATTATTTTATTTGGAAAATACTAAACAAAAAATTATTTAAAGATCATGTGTATGTATTCTAAAACGATGTATATAACAATTAAAATTAATTTAAAATTATTATTAACATGTAATTTAAAATTATTAATGCAACAATCAAAATCACGCACTTGAATTTTTAAAATGTATATTTATACATGTTACTATCATATGTCAATTTATGTAAATTTTATTTGGACAAATTTTAGTATAAAAAATAAGTAAATAAGAATAAAACTTGAATCTACAAAAAGGAAAAAAATAATTGAGTAAAAGGCTAAAAAAAAATCACAAACAAAACTAAAATAATTTATTATGAAAGAAACCAGAAAAAAATTATTAAAGAAACAAAATAAAAACAAATTTCTATTAAAGAAAAGAAAAAATAAAAGAAAATCAAAATCACGCACTTGAATTTTTAAAATGTATATTTATACATGTTACTATCATATATCAATTTATGTAAATTTTATTTGGACAAACTTTAGTATAAACAATAAGTAAATAAGAATAAAACTTGAATCTACAAAAAGAAAAAAAAAATAGAGTAAAGGGCTAAAAAAAATCACAAACAAAACCAAAACAATTTTTTATTAAAGAAACCAGAAAAAAAATTTATTAAAGAAACAAAAGAAAAATAAATTTCTTTTAAGGAAAAGAAAAAAAAAAGGAATAGTGCACCTCTCGCAATGTGTGGATGCTCAAAAGCCAAAAAAAATAAAAAAACTCGCGGGTCATTCGCGGGTCGTCTTATAACCCAGAGTTTGACCCGCGAGTTTTCTTTAAAAAAGGCACGATGCACCTCGCGCGATGCGCGGGTGTTCAAAAGCCAAAAAAAAATACTCCTTCTGTCCTAAAATTATTGTCTTATTTGGATTTTCATTTCTAGTTTAAATTGTACTAAAAATAAAATCTCAAACTGGACAATAATTTTGGGACAGAGGGAGTATAAAATGTCTATTTATGAAATTACTGTTGTGCCCCTAATTAAAAAAAAGACCGTCCAACCAATCAGATTTGAGGAATTAAACCGCCCAACCAATCATATTTTAGGATTTTTTTTGGCTCACTAAGACTTTTATCTTTATGTTATAGATCAAAACATTGTGTGGTACCTAAAAACAATTGGCAATTATAAGAGATTTGGGATTGAGCACTGAATAATAAGCCACGCTGTTGGATAGTCGTATAATTGCCATAGAAACAGGACACGAAATTGACAGGTGCGACATGAAATGAAATTTGATTGATTGAGAGATCTCTCAGTCTCAGTAGAGAACAATGTCTCTGTGTCACGTTTGAAAATACCATATTGATTTAGAGCAAACGTCTTCTCTTGTATTGGTCTTGGTCTCTGAAGTTGACTTGAATGGTGAATTCTTCTGAATTCTGATCAATTCCATTCTCCCCTTCTTCATATGTACTGTATTAATCAATCTTCATCTCAGTATTACTATCATTCAAACTTTACATAGTTGACTCTCTAATAGTTTTACACTTTTCATATAGACACTCCCATAACCTAATCAAAGAGAAAATAAGGAGTAAAATGGGCATGCTATATAACAATAATGAAAATAAGGACATGAAGGAGAGAAATCATCAAGTAATCTTCTCGTTGCTTGGAATGGAAGTTTGTGATGAATATTTTGTTGACGTTCGTATACATAACTAAAAGTTGTATATGCCGAGTTATTATTTTTTTTTTCCATAAATAATCTTAATTAAAGTACTCTCTCGGCTCTTTATTATAAGACATTTTGATTTTGTCTTTGGTTTCACCTAATATGTATTTTTAATTAGAAAAAACCTTAAACATATATTTTTACACTTGTCATGTTCTCCTAATTATCAAAATATATTTTTAAGGTTTTTATTTCAATTAAAAAAATGTCCTAGGTGAAATTTAGAACAAACCTAAGACAAATCAAAATGCCTTATAATAAGGATCAGAGGGAGTATTATTTTTTCATAGTAACGTATCACTTTTGTTCTAACATTTGAGTAAACATCAAACCACTGAGCCAATGTAGTTTCCATTAATGAACCAAAGACTAGTTAAAGAGGCTATCAAAATTGACAATAGAACAGCGAGTTCAACAACATTATACATATCATAGTATATTGACTGGATCTAATCAAGCAATTTGGAGTTTTGCTTATCTTCTTTTCGAGTCTATATACAACACTACTACAACCACGTTAATGGCATGGTATTTTGACTAGATCCAATCAAGTCCATCTGCAAAAGATATAGAGTTGTTCCTCATTATATTTTGGAGGATCTGACTAGACAGGAATGACAAGATTTGGCGTAATCAGTTCCAAAATCTCACAATTTCTTAGAGGTGATTCCAGGCTGATTTCCAGCTATATACACAGAGAGTACTGAGAATCAATCCAGGACCTTCATCAGTGTCTACATCTACAAACTCAGGAATCTCACCTCTAAACAATAATGACGCTGCAATTCTCTTTGATGGATCCTTTCACCCTAACACCATGGTGGCAACAAGAGTATGGAAGATCACGTCATCACAGGGTGTAGTAATGCAAATCAAGGCGACACCCCTTCAAGCATTATCTCCATTTCATGCCGAAGCAATGACGTGTTTAATGGCGTTAAGAGAAGCGGTGAATCTTGGTCTCACTCGTATCCGAATATATACAGAATGTCAGTTATTAAAAACTAATTTAAGTCCTACGCAAGTGCCTCTGGAAGCACAAGAAGTAGTATCATTGTTGATTGCTCTAGTTTCGTAAATACAATTTTGTGAATGAATTAAGATGAGTCGTGATGATGTAAACGACCTCCATAATATGGCATATGGCTAGACCTAATAGAATAGGTACTTACATCTAATAATAGGTACCGTTTTCAAAAAAAAAAAAAACATATCATAGTAATTCCTATGATTAACATTTTGCTTAAAATCAAATTATAATGGACAGCAAAGGGTGACAGTGAGCTCAACATTGGACATATCACGTTGAACTTCCATAATCTGCTTGGCAGAATCCTGGCAGAAGAGCTACACCATTTCATTTGAATTGACTTCAGGGTAGCTATTTCTTCCAGAGAAGAAGGTATCTTTTTCAGTTGCGGGCAATGCATCACCACAAGTTGCTCAAGCAAGGGCAGGTGATCAGGAGCAAAAGCGTTCCACGCTTCTATATCCAGGGATTCTAGCTTCAAGAATTTTAGCTTGGGGAATTCGCCGTCTCCCATGTCCCATTGTTGCCCTTCAAATGATCTGTGCAGTAGTTTTAGGACTTCAAGATTCGGGAGAAGTCGCCCGATGACTGAGAGTTCCTCCCATGGCAGGCGCGAGGTGGACATGGCCAGCTTGGTGAGATTTGGAGGAGAACTAAACTTACAAGGAGATAACACTTCTCCAGAGAAGGAGATTTTGAGTGATTTAAGTTCATTCAGAAAGGCTAGCCCTGGCAAAATACTGCAGCCTGTAGAATTCTCCCCTGAATCTGAAAAGACTCTTCGTCCTAGCTTCTGAATCCCTGCAGGTATACTCCTGAAGATAAACTTCTCAACATTCTTTTGACGCTGCGAGAATCTTCATCCCAATTTCTGAATGCCAGGCATTTTTCTCAAGATGAACTTATCAGCATTGTTACCAAGTTGCAGAGGAAGGGTGGAAATGGATGTCAAGTTTGCCAGCAGGGGAAAATTCATGTCAGAGGAGTGTAATTCTACGAAAGACACAGGAAAAATGAAAATGCCATGATCAGATACCAAATTCCTCAAACTTGCCAACTTCCAGATCGACTCAGGTAACTTAATTTTGCCAATCACTCCACTTATAGCCAGAGTTTCCAAGTTTGTAAGGCTGCCTATCTGCCAGGGAATTTCATTTCTCCGACACCTGATTTCTAAGTACCTTAAATGTACCAACTCAGAGATCATGACAAGATCCGAAGTGTCTGCGCTGTTTTCAACTCGAACACTTCCCAGGTCCAACACTTCAAACTTCAGGAACTTAGAAATCATGTCATAATGAAACCGTTCGATTCCGGTAGTCCTGGTGCGCATCGCTGGCGTGCCTTGTGAGAGCTGCCCTTTTCCAACACGAGGCTTGTACCTGAGCATATTCCCTAGAGTATGTTCTAGTCTAGGCTTAAAAGATAAACCATTAGAAACCTTAAAGTTGAAAAGGCTGTAGATGGTAGTACCATATGGCCTGTGGTGATGTAAATAAGTGGTATGAGGGGCATTACTATAACCATAAAAAGATGAATGCCTATAAAATATGTTGCCCTCCAGAACTTGCCTTTCTGACTGCAGTTTTTGTTTACAAAATTGCCGAAGAACATCATGAACACGGCACGCTTTTACTCCCCCTTCGGAACTCCTTTTGACAACCATCACAAGGCTTCTGTCAGTTAGTTCATGCAAGCAAGCCTCGGCTACTTGCTTTAAACTCTTCAGCCCAAGATTTGGTTCCTGTACAAAACCTTCTGATATCCATAATCTCAGCAACTTCGACACAGTGATTAAAGCATCCTCTGGAAATGCTCAAAAATAATTAAAGCACGGCTTCAAGCAGTTGATGTTGTAGCTGAACTCCAATATGTGGGCAAAGTCCATCACTTCACTGTAATTCTTTTCTGCTCCCAGCTTAAAAACTGTTTTGGCAACTTGTTCCCAAGAATCTTTTCTCCTTGTAGTCCTCTTCAAAATTCCAGCAATCAAGGTTACAGTAAGTGGCAGCCCTCTGCAGTTCCTGGTGATATGATTTGAGATCATTGACAACCCTACAGGGCAATCACCTCTTCCAAATACCTGCAACAATAGTAGTTCACAGCTCTCCTTACTGGAAAGCAAGAGAAGAGCATAAGGAATACTATTAATCGCTGTGGCAACAAAATGATGTCGAGTAGTGAATAGGATCCTACTCCCATTGTGATCATCAGGAAAAATTTCCTTCAAATCATTCCATAACTCAGCATCCCATATATCATCAATGACAATTAAGTATCTCCTACCCCTCAACTTCTGATAAATCTTTAGGGCAACATCTTCCTTTCATGTTATCTCATGACTTACATTGGTTTTCCCTACAATTTGGTTCAACATCTCAAACAACAATACTTCTTTGACACAAGATTGAGATGCATAACACCAAGCACGGACATGAAAGTGAAAGTTGATTGAAGGATGCTTATACAGTAAATTTGCGAGCGTTGTCTTACCGATTCCTGGCATGCCCGGAATGGAGACAGTCTTGAGCGGAGTTCCTTCAATGCTAGTAAGTAGCTCAATGACCTCCATGGCTGCATCCTTTACACCAACACGTTAATCATGGGATTCCTCCATGTTCATCTCCTTCATCATTTTTTCGGAACCCCTTTCTGAGACATTCTGCATTTGGTTATTCTTGGTTAATGATAAGGCTGGACCAAAAACGTTGCGGGGATCAATAGTACTTTCAGAAACAACCATCTTTTCTGAGTAAGCCTTCATCTCCATTTGTGCAACCTTAAGATGATTCTGAACCACAAACATACCCAGCTTATGATACCAAAGTGGACCTTCTCTGGCTAAAATTAGATGAATGATGAAGCTGACTTTATTGCTTGCCTCTTCAACTTGTTGCCTCAGGTAGTCAATTTCTGCTGGTGACTTTTCCAACACATCATCTGCTTCAATTTCAGCGAGACAATTTTCGAATGACTGATGAGGAAACTACAAGATTGCATCTGGTTCATGCTTCTTCTAAATGCTTTCCTGGAACAAGAAAATGACTGATTGCTGACAGTGAAGAGATCATTTGCCTGTTGCTTCAGAGACTCAATATCTTGAAGCAAGCATGGAAGGTGAAATCTCATGTAATTAGCCCTCTGATTTTCATCCGCCTCTTTATCAGATAGAGAATTCATCTGTTCTTTTTCATCAAAATGAAAGAAGTATTGAGAAATCCCGCATACTGAATATCCGGTCTGGTGAAAGTAAGATACTGTAATGCACCCACTAAGCTCCGATAGAGAGTCGGATTGTGAAAAGGCGGAGACTCAGCAACCGGAAATTGAAAAGCCAGAGCAAGTGGAGTTGCAACTGGATTGGCATCAGTGAGATGACTGCGAGCAAGCAACTCCTCAGCATACTTGCGTTGGTGTAAAAACCAACCACTAGAGTGAGAAGCAATAGAAATACCAAGGAAATAGCTGATTGGACCAAGATCCGTCATTGCAAAAGCACCTTTCAGCGACTGAATAATAGTAGTGAGGAGATGATTGCTAGAAGCTGTTAAGAGAATGTCATCAACATAAAGTAACAAAACAGCCATATCCGATCCAGAAGAATACACAAACATGGAAGTGTCTGAGTGACTGCCTTTAAAACCCTGTGTAAGCAGAAAAGCAGTGGAACGATGAAACCAAGCTCTGGGAGCTTGCTTTAAACCATAAAGAGCTTTGTTCAACCGACAGACATAGTGAGGATGGTCTGGATGAACAAAACCAGTAGGCTGTTTCATATAGACAATTTCATTAAGATGACCATGCAAAAACGTATTTTTAATATCCAACTGATGAACGGGCCATTTTCGAGAAGCAGCAATACTTAAGATAGTCCGAATTGTCACAGGTTTAACCACCGGACTAAACATTTGGTCATAATTAAGGCCAGGCTGCTGATTGTAGCCTTGAGCGACCAAACGTGCCTTACATCGATGAAGAGAGCCATCAGATTTTAACTTGACTCGAAAAATCCATTTGGACTCGATAATATTGGCAGAAATAGGGGAGGGGACTAAATCCCATGTATGATTAGTGAGGAGAGCATTAAATTCGTCATTCATAGCGGCATGCCATTCAGGGTATTTATTCGCTTCAGTAAAGGATTTTGGTTCAGTAGGGAGTGAAGAGGATGTAGTAGTGGCAATAAGAGAGAGTATCTGTTTAGGTTTACGAGTGCCATCACGAGTTCTAGTGACCATATGATGAATAGGGGGATTCGAAATAGGAGAATCCGAAGTATGTAACAATGAAATGGAAGGCGTGGATGCAGATACTGAAGAAATGGATGACACATGTTTTTGTGAAGGAGAAGCAACCAATGGAGAGGATTTTGATAAAGGGAGGGATCGTGAAATAAGGAACGAGGGATGTTTAAAAGGAGATTGGAGAGGATTGTTTTGGGGAACCGAAGAGAGTTGAGGAAATGGAAAAGAGGTTTCATAAAAAACGACATGACGGGAAGTATAGACTTTCTTAGAAGCGGGATCAAAACAACGATAGCCCTTATAAGATTCAGGATAACCAAGAAAGACACATGGAGCGGAGCGAGGTTGGAGCTTATGAGAAGCTAAATGAGAAAGATTGGGAAAACAGGAACACCCAAAAACCCTTAAGGAACCATAGTTAGGTGGATGACCAATAAGAGGGGAGAAAGGAATGGCCCCATTTTTTGATTTAGTAGGTAAACGATTTAACAGATAGACACTAGTATATAAAGCCTCTACCCATAATGCATGTAGTAAGTGAGCTTGATGCAGAAGCGTGTGGATCATATTGATTAGTGTTTTATTCATGCGCTCAGCCTTGCCGTTTTGTTGAGGAGTGTACGGACAAGAGATACGCATTGTGATCCCCTTAGATTTAAGAAAAGATTGAAGATAATGAGAATGAACATATTCAGCTGCACCGTCAGATTGAAGAGTTTTGATGGAAGCATTGAATTGAGTTTGAACAAGAGTATAAAATTCAACAAACTTTTGAGGAATCTCGGATTTATTTTTAAGAGGATACACCCATAAATAATGAGTGAAATCATCAAGAAAGAGTACAAAATACTTGAAACCACTAAAGGAATTACACGGAGAGGTCCAAACATCTGTATGTATAATATCAAAAGCACGAAAAGTAACCGAAGAAGAAGGCATAAAAGGGAGCTTATGATGCTTCCCAATTTGACAAGCTTGACAAAGACTAAGTTTATCGGAAGAGGTCACGGAACCAGGAAGACTTCGACTGGACACTAAACTGGACAAAACGGAGGCATGCGGGTGACCAAGGCGTTGATGCCATAATTGAGAAGAGACGGAAGCAGCAAACACCGGACAAGACGGAGAAGACGGTGCAAGGGATGGATGGAGCAGTGAGGGCGGAAATGTATAACGGGAACCATAACTATTGCAACGTAGACGAGGGGTCCTCGTCCAAAGATCCTTCACAGAAAAACTAAAAGGGTCAAACTCAACAGAGCATTGATTTCCAGTAGAAAATTGACGTACAGAGATTAGATTTTTTGTAAGTGAAGGAACATGGTAAACATTAGGGAAACGGAACTGAGAACAAGAGAGTTGACCAACGGATTAAATAGGTAAGGAATGACCATTACCAATAATGACTCGAGTAGAACCAGTATAAGGTTTTGAATTAGTGAGAGTACCTTGAGAAGGAGTCATAGTGTTACCACAAGCATTGTCCATATACCAGGAGGAATCAGCAGATGGGGGAATAGAAAGCCGATTATTGTGATCCACAAAGTAAGCGGGCTGTTGAAATTGATAGCAATCTCGAGCAGAGTGATTGAATTAATTGCACAATTGGCAACGAACAGCAGCGGGATTGAACTGAAAAGAGGGAGCCGGACCAAGAAGAGAGGGAGCACGTGGCCTAGGAGGAAACATAGGAGCTGTATAAGAATTAAAAGGTGCAGAAAACGAGGAGGGATACTGACCAAAAATTTGGTTACGTCCACGCCCACGACCACGTCCCTGATTATTCTGAAAACCGCGACCCCTGCCACGGCCACGATTGGAAGACGGCTGCTGTTGAGAAGGGGTATTGGACTGCTGCTGTGGAAGGTCAGTGGAAGATGCCGCGACCAGAGCGGTGGTAGCCGTGGAGAGGGAAGAAGGAGTAGTGTGCTGAAGTTGCACTTCATGCAGGAAGAGCATTGATCGAGCTTCAACGAAGTTGGGTAAAGGAACGCGATGGCTAATGGTAGTAGAGACAGACTGGTAGGTCGAAGGAAGACCAGCCAGAATTTGAAGCACCAAGTCATCGTTGAAGATGGGAGAACCGACGGATGTTAATGAATCGGCCAACATCTTAAACTTGGTAACATACTCATTAATGGTTAATTCCCATTTCTTTAAGCTATGAAACTCAAATTTCAATTGGAGAAGGCGGGAACCAAGCTGATCGTGGAAGAGTTTCTCAATGGTGAGCCACGCATCGCAGGCGGTAAGGGAAGAATTGGGTCGAACGATGGCTTGCAAAATTTCGGTGGAAACAGTAGCTTGGATCCAGGAGAGGACAATGGAGTCAATTTGGGTCCAAGTTCGAAAAGCAGGATTTGGATTGGATGAGGAAGTGTCGTCAGAGGCAGCGAGAGTTGATGGAGGACAAGGATCGGAGCCATCGATATGACCAATCACGGCATGTCCGCGAAAGACAGGAAGAAAAATCTCTTTCCATAGCATGTAGTTTGTGAAATCTAGAATGGGAGTCACATAATTCTTGATGTTAGAGAGACCAATAGCTGGATGAGAAGGTGGTGTCGGAAAAGAATTGGTTGTCATGGCCTCGGTTGATTGAAGATCAGTTTGCTGTGAGACAGCAGAGGTCACGGCGGAGTTCGTCATGGCGGCAGGGATCTGTGTGTGTGTGTGTTTTTTTTTTTTTTTGAAAGAACCAAACATGTCTGGACTAATTTACAGAAATAAAAAAATTTTAGGGATAATTTCCGTAAATTAAATAAACTATGGAGACTGATTTGGAATTTCTGAAAACTTAAAGGATTGAAACTGCAAAAAAATGAAAGTTGGCAAATCTGCAGCAGGATTCTGTGCAGCAGCGGCGGGTTGTGTGCAAAAAAAGAGAGGGAGCAGGGTTCTGTGCAAAAAACCAAAACTATGGGTTGTGATAAAGAACGGCAGTCGGCAAAGGAGGAAGAATGGCAGAGGGGAGGATTGTGTGGAGGCCGGAAATCAACACGGATAAACAGCAGCAGCGGCCGGAAAGAGAGGGAGCAGCCGCCGGCCTAAAGAAAACGGACACCTACGGAAATCAGGAAGGGGAGCCGCCGGCCGGGTTCGATGTTGGGATTGTGTGATTTTGTGTGTTGGCTATGGGATTTGGAGCGTCGGCGGTTCGGCGGAGAAGGAAACAGACGGCAAGAGAGGAACAGTGTAAGCCGGCAAGAGAGAGGAAGAAAAGAAAGCTGACGGGTGAAGCCCTAAAAAAAATTGAGAGGCCAGGAAAGAAGGATGATACCATGAAAGAATTATTGTGTCTATTATTCACATAATACATTATGGTATTTATAGTACAATATTGTAACAACCCTAACCGTCTATATAAAAAATTCTAATTAGGGTTTCGATTATTTTCATATTCTATCAGACTCGTGGCCAGTTTTCTCTTGAGCTTTTTGGATTTTAACAATAACTGGTCAACGTCTGAAGCATTGTAGATCATCCCCAAAAACACTTCAACTATCTCCTCTGTTGTGAGATTCAGCAGGAGACGTAGAAAAAGAATGGTAAAAATATGGCATTAGGTAACAATTATTCTCCAATAGTATATAGTACTCAATAGTCATTGTTTTGGGTTCGAAGAAATTTGATCATGCAAATATTCAGATGGGTTCAATTCTGGATGCTGCGAGAACTTGTGACGAGAAGAATGGCTGAAGTTATTCCATTCACAAAGAATGAATAATGATTATGATACTTTGCAATCATCTGCCACAACACATTCTGTTTGAAGTTTGAACACGTCAAACCACAAGGACTTATCATCGAAGTTTGAGTTTTGACCACGACAAAGGTTACATACATGGTACTTTTTTTTTTTTTTTTTTTTGAGAAGGACATGGTACGTTAAACGAAGCCACAGCAGGGGTTTTTTGTGTGTTGACCATAAATGTAATTTGGACATGATCATATAACAGTTGGAACTCTCTGTCTCTCTCTCTTTTTTTTGTTTTTTTTTTTTTTACAATAAAGGAAACAAAGCCTATCAAATTAAATTAATACATCCTGCGAATAGGAAACATTCTGCGGATAGGAACGCCAACAACCAAATAAAATCGCACAATTAATCTAATAGAATCCCATAAACTACGCGAAAATATGGATTGAATTTTCAAAGTCAAGAAGATATTTGCACTCTACCGTTTCTGGACGTGCCTTTTTAGTTTTGATGACCAAACATCTCCCTTTTGTTGGTTCCAAAAGGGAGATTGAGATGCGTAACACCAAGCACGTACAAGAAAGTGTACATTGCTTGAAAGATGTTTGTACATTATGTTTGGATTATTTTTTAGTATATATTTTAGGTATTTTTTCTATCGATAATATATAAGAAGATGTACTAGAAATGTAAAAATATGATAAGATAATAAATTATTAATATATAAATGCTGAAAAAAATCAGCAACAAACAATCCAAACAGTGCATGAATTTTCGGTAGTCTCCTCTTCCCAAGTCCTGATCTGCCCACGATAGAGTGACTGAGGGAGTCTCAAGCTGAGTCCTTTCTTACTCTTTAGTCTTTTCCTCCCAAAATAATTATAAGTTTGCTATTACCATTTTTGTAAGGTTCAGCTTCAATCAGGCTGGCCTTGTTGCCTTTGACACCGCGAGCTAAGGTGGCTAATTTTGACTATATAATATCAGCCACAAACAGACCTTATATACCAAGTTGGGCAGGACAAAATAACACAGATTGGGCCTTCTACTCCCACGTTAGTGGGAATCCAAAAACCAAACAATTTCAAAGTCAAAAGGCTCAAGTTTTCGGAGTCTTAAAAGATGAAATGATTGAACGAAGGTAATCAAGCTTGTTTGTTTAAGTGACAACAAATGAACAAACATCCGGAGATCTTAAAAGAAATTGAAGCGTGCAAATCCATATACGATTGGTCATTACGGAAATTATTATCAATATAACATTGCTTGTTGGATGTAACAAAAATAATTGGTTTGGTTAAATTGATTGATCTCCCAAAGAGAGACGACGCTCAGCCTCGATCTTCCGCAATCTTTCCTGCATTTGGAAAGAAAGAGTAGAAACGTGTGACCGCCCAGCGTCTTCTACCAGCACCGAGATAGGCAAGATCATCGGAAGAAACATCACCGCGAGAATAAAGATGAAAGCCAATGTGTTTGCACCCAAACTCCCTCTCGTTGATTCTGGCACGATAGTCCCAAGTGACATTGCATAAGCAGCAGAAATTGTTGTTACCGACACGGTGATAGCGGTAAACAATATAGTCATCTGAATCATTGAACGTTTGCTCAATCCGGCAGCCACGTGCATCATAATTGTAACCAAAGACGACACAAAGGCTACCGTGTTACACCATATGAGCCTTTTGTAGTATTTTGGTTGAGTTTGCGCCAGCACACTTTCCCCAGCCCTGTGGGGATTAGGACCTTCCAATGAGTCGTCTTGCCAAACACCTCCAGGAGGACTTACCATAGCTTGAAATGCCATAGTCGCAATGATGGAAGCCACAACTATTATTGCATCTTTGCTTTTCTCCACGCTATTTAGGAACTGGGCCACGTACTCCGGACCAGAGATAGCAGCATCCTCACCGATTTCTGCTTTGGATCTCGATAAAGCATCTTTAATTCCCCCTTCCCCTTCCAATTTCAGTAGAAGCTTTTTATTTCTTCCGAATATTATTGAATCATGTGATGGTATTCCAGCCTGCTCTAAGAAAAGGTCCAATGCAGTTTTCCCATCTGCATTCCTCAGGTTGATAATTCCGGCCGCATTTTCTATCAAGTAAATTATGATATCCTGCCTCCTCTGCATTTTGTACCAAAGTCACAGCTTCAATGGAATTAGGGACACACAAAGTCATAAATGCACATATATACTTGTGATGTTATGAAATTATTTTCTTTAATCTCTAATGATACTAAACCATAAAAAAAAAAAAGAAAAACTTATGAACCCATTGATCATTAATCAATCATCAACTTTCCCGAGACGTCGGGAAAAAAAGAATTTGAAAATTTATAGATAGTGATACTGTATTAGGAATGCATTGAGTACCTGGTTTTGGTTAAACTCGAAAGCCATGTGTAGTATGGTCATACCATCTTTGTTTTTAGCACCTACCAACTTGGGATCAGTAAGAATCTGCAATAATAACTTCAAGGCCTCCAATTGATTATACTTGACGCACAAATGTAAAATGGTGCCTCCCTCCTCCGCCTTCTCGAAAGCCGCTTGCATTAGCCCATCATGATGATGTACCAAATTCAATATCTCCAATTTGCCATTGATTGCAGCAACTTGTAGAGGGTTTTTCCCTTCTCGGTCCCGGGCCAAACACATTCGATGAGACGAAGGGGAATTAATTTGTAAAATAGCTTTCACAAATTCTTCATGGCCCAACATTGCACTAATATGAAGAACGTTCATATCTTCACAAATTATATAGGATTTATCAATGGCATCTGGATCTTCTTCTAATAACTGATAAAGGGATGCAGTATCACCTTGGACTGCTGCATCATACAGCCTTTTGTCCATGATTTTACAGACGAGAAACGAATTCAATGAAGTGTAGAAGGAAGAAGAAAGGGACTGCTGTACTTCTGATAAAATTAACACTCTCCTCTCCTCCCCTTTTATTATACTCGATCACATCATTATTTGCTTTTCCTTTGAATTGGGTGAAGAATAAAATACTGCAATTTGTATTAGTATGAAATATGAATAACGCAAGTAAACAACTCAGCATGCCATCGTGATGCATGGATGTTGATGGTATCCAATGTAAACATGTGAGAGTTGGTAGATCGAAGAAATAAATAAATTCAGTCGGTACTACTCTAATTTGGCGCCATTCTAATTTTTTTTTTTTGGCAATTAGTATTTCAACACGTTAGACACATTGGATGTCACCAATAGTTGACTTCGTTGAAATAAAAAGCGCAACGAAACCTGAAAAGAATAAGATAAATTTGGAGTCTTGGGCCTCTCGTAAAGAACAGACTCCAAATTTAATTAGAGAGGGGTGAGATATTCATAATTAATCCCAGTGCAGAAAGCTGGCACTTTAATTAGATTATTATTAAACAGAGAAATCGCTAATTGTCTTGCGTGGAATTCGCGACGCGGATTCAAAAAGAAGTAAAGAGAGGTGTCGGAACGTGCAATTCTTACAGTGGAGGGTCATAGGCCGCCGAGGTTTGTTATAGACCATCACTCAAAATATTAAACCCGCGTACATTATCAAAAAATCATAAGAAATATAAAAAGTGTAGAATATATTTAAAGTTCATATTAATACATATTATATAATTAAAGATAAAATATTGCATACGATATAAAATGCAAGTATTGAGTTCATGGAAAGAGAAAAAATAAATAATAAAATGAAAATCATAATCATTATATGACTGAAAACAAATAAAAGTATATTAGTATTTTATGGAACTGAAGAATAAAATGATTGTATACGTAAAATACGTAATGGATTAATTATCAAAAATATAAACTATATGTACTAAATGTGTTTGTGATGTTTAAAATTTATATGGTTATTTTGTTGTGATTGAAGATTATGACAACCTCTACTACCGATGGAAAATTGATGTTATTACTCAGGGAGATTTTTAATGAAACCATTGTTAAAAATAGGAGTAGCACAATCATGTTGGTAGAAATTAATATATACTGTAGAGGATAGACAAAACTTTGTTCATCTTTGTAATCATCACCTTCAACTTGTTTGTTTTTATAATTTTTCCACCATCTGCATAATTGAATTAAAAGAAAAATGATCCAAGCACGTTTTTTAAATTAATGCAAAAAGTTGGTTTACGGGCTTAGTTTTTCCCAATTTTAATTATTTTATAATTTGAGGACTCAATTCTAATTTTATAAAATGACACCTCAAATTCGCAATTAAAGAATCACTGATGATTTTGCATTAATTATTTTCAAATTTTAAAAAATTATTAATATTGTTTAATGATCAAAACAATATGTAGTGCCATTATTCAAGCCAATCCGAAAACCACCATTGCTCTTAAGAGGAGGTTATGAGTTCAAACCTCCATATCCAACAAGAGAGAGGGGATGGCTTTAGCTTACTCATTGGTACCTCTAAAGGGATTGTTATGGCAAACTCACTCATGAATTCTCGATTTTGCATCCGAACTTGTCACCTCGGGCTTACCTAGGGTGGTTTACCTCCCACTGTAGTTTGCAGGCTATTGCAGTGGGCGTGGATTTACCCATCTCTAGTGGGGTTCCCGGCGTTACCAAAAAAAAAAAATCTGAAAATCTTTTAAAATCAATCAGATTTAATGTTGAATCAAATAATTATTTACTTTTTTTAAAAAAAAACTGGGCCCAAGCGAGAATCAAACTCTCGACCTTCTGGTAATAACCATCCCCCATCCTAATACGCTAACAACCCAACCCAACCCTCCCACCCCCAAATAGATATTTACCTTTTTTATATGACACCAAATGAAAAAAAAAAACCATTAATGTTGATTTTTTTTTAAAAAAAAACTGTTTTCTTTTTTATTTCACCGAATAAAAAATAGAAAATTTACCACACAATTAATTGATATAATTTAATTCCAAATTGATAACAATTGCTTAACTGGAAATTTAAAGGACTGTTAGTATAATTGCTGTAAATATTTTTTATGTTAACCTATAGGAAAATGACACATAGGATTTTGTCCTATGTGTCAACATGAGAAGAAGTTTGATTTCCTCTCTCTGGTTTCTCTTTTAGTATAAATAATAATACTATAGATTCGTCATTTTGATAGATTAAATTTACTTATTAACTAAATAATTTTGGTTAGCTAATTAAATTATTGGAAGCTATATATTTTTATGGTTAGTAGGTAATAGGTGGAAAGGTTATTTTCACTCTAAACCGAGAGCTTCTCTGTTTAATAATCTAATTAAAATGCCAGCTTTCTGCACTAGTATTAATCTAATAAGTCAGTGTTTGTCCTCCATCAAGTTTTCTTTTATTTTAAATGACCAACAGTTTGGTAACCTTATTACCAAGAGAGGCATCCGTCAAGGAGATCCTCTTTCGCCTTACCTTTTTATCACTTGTTTGGAATTATTCTCATGTCTTCTTCAGGATCTTCAAAATTGTGGACGTATTCATGGATTAGGAGTTACTTGGCATGCAACAAAAATCTCGCACTTATTCTTTGCTGATGATGCTTTGCTGTTTGGTGATGCTACGGAGGAGGAAGCACACTACTTGCATTTGGTTGTCCAGCTTTATGAAAGAGTTTCTGGCCAACGGATCAACTTCGATGAATCTGGTGTTCTATTCAGCCCTAATACAAATGCACAAACCAAGGCAAACATTTGCTCCATTCTCGGGATCCCACAGGTTGATAGCCATGGCAAATATCTTGGCTTCCCTTTGGTGATTGGAAAAGTAAACGAGAGATCTTTTTGAGTATCAAAGATCGTGTTTGGCAGAAATTACATAGCTGGAATTCGAAGACTTTATCTAGAGCAGGCAAGGACGTCCTCATCAAATTCGTAATACAAGAAATCCCATCCTGCGGGATGTCTTGCTTCCTGCTACCAGATTATGTTCTAGATGATCTTCAATTCATGTCGGGCAAGTACTTCTGGGGGGATTATGATCAACGGAGGCAAATACATTGGTTGTCTTGGAATGTCTTGTCCCAAAGCAAGCGGGATGGTGGATAAGGGTTTCACCATCTCAAAGCCTTCAACATGGCAATGTTGAGTAACCAAGCCTGGAGACTTCTCACAGCACCAAATTCACTTCTTGGTCGGGGTTTAAAAGCCAAATACTATCCAACTCAAAGATTTCTTTTTTATATGTTGATCTCGGTCAGAGACCTTCATGGACGTGGAGATGTATTCTGGAGGGGCGCAAGGTGTTGTAGTTGGGGTGTCGTAAACAGATCAGAAGTGGAGGTCGAACGGCAATCTGGACTAATCGATGGATTCTGTTGGAACCTGGGTTCAGATCAAGAGCATCCCCACACATACTGTCTCCTTCAGCTAGGGTTTCACAGTTATTTTTGCCAGATTGCAGAGAATGGAATCGAGATTTAATTCAAAGTAAATTTCCACCTGATGAAGTCCCTGCCATTCTGTCTATGGCTTTGCCGATTAATCTTTCTTCGGATCGGTGGATTTGGCATCACACGAGGAACGACAATCACACTGTTCGCTCAGCATATCATCAACTGTTGCATTCCTCGGCATTCAGCTTACAAACTAATCCCTCTACGGTGGTGCCTGGTGGTGTGCAGGATCTTTTATGGCAGAAGCTTTGGAATTTGAAGCTGCCTCCTAGGGTTATTGTTTGCATGGCGTCTCTGTCACAATTTCTTCCCAACGCCTTTCAATCTGGCTTCGCGTCATATGAATTCTAGTGTTGTTTGCATCCTCTGTAATCAATCTTCAACGTCAAGTTGCCACACTTTCTTTGATTGCCCTTATGCGCAGCAAACGCTTCGAATTGCAGGAATCTACCAAGGAGTATTACAGTTTCAGCGTCCAGTTTGTGAACTTTGGATCCGGTCCATTATTTTGGATGATCACTTTCATGCCAAAGAATTTTTTGTCGTAATATTATCCGCAATATGGCAATCCAGAAATGGTAAGTTTCATGAACAACAAAGTATCACTCCTTGGTCAGTCGTGCTCCAAGTTAGTCGGGTTGTCCGTGCTTTTGCTGAACTTTGAATATCATCCAACAGAATGGCTATCAACCAGAACCCAATGTATTTTCTTGCTCCACCTCCAGTGGAAGCGATTAAAGTGTTTTTTGATGGTGCTATTTATCAGACGAAAGCTTGCGCTGGCACTGGAGTTTTTATTCATGGGCCGAATGGTCAGTTCATCCATGGACTAGCACGTCAATTCCCAAACATCATTGATTCGGACTTAGCAGAAGCATTAGCTTTGTGTGAGGCCTTGCTACTCTGTCGAAAATTAGGGTTGTGCAATGTCTCCGTTCAAGGCGATTCTTCCATCATTGTACTAGCTGCCTCCAAAGAAATTGATGGGCCATCTGCATGCCCTCCAGTGTTGGAAGACATCATCTATATATGTCAGAATCTCCCGGTCAGGCATTTGTCATGGATTCCGCGAAGCGACAATTTCATTGCTCATTCTTTTGCTAAATATGCTAAGTCATCAACTGTAATTGAAACTCTATGGAGTGAATCTCCTTCCTTTGTACCTCATTTGGTGCTAGACCAATTTCAGCAATCTTAATACAAGTTACTTTTTCTCAAAAAAAAAAAAAGGCCAATTAACATATTGATTACTATTAATTATGCCTAGTTTAGATTTTGTACTTTTAGTACTCCCTCCGTCCCATAATTATTGTCCAGTTTTTCTAAAATGAAAGATTTTATTTTTGGTCAAACTTAACTATATTTTACCTTAAACAACCGGATATACCCCTACATAAGTAATTGTTTAACCACTAAGATTTTATGGATAATGTTTTTTACTAAGGACAAATGTGTAACTTGATCCATAAAAAG